CCTCTCACTTAACAAGCTTCAAGATTGATATTCATTAAGGTTAATTGTTGACAATTTAGTTAACAAATTTTTTTTTAAAGATTCTAAATTGTTAATGAAAGTATAAGTGTGTTTATGTTGATTAATGGGATGATATAATTAGGGAAATGAAAACAATTAAATGCAAGGAAAAGTAAACATTGAATTACAAATCAAAACAAAAAGCCAAGTTTTAATTGTATCATCACAATTAAATTACATTGATTAGGATAATATTTCACCAGAGTGATTATTATGATTAAGTTGATTGTTTTGAGCTACGATCAGTTGATGAAAACGTGATTAGATTTAACTAATTACGGGTTAACACATCTAAATGATACTTAATCTGTTAATTTGATTAGGATGATGATAATGAGAGGATGAATGATGAAAAGTTGTGGACATAAAGGTAAAGTGGGTGAGGTCATTTCCGTTTACCTGTTGTATGTTAATCACCATGATGTTTATGAATATTTAGTTTAACAGTTAACCGGAATTGGAAACTATTTTTGTTACTCTCATTGAATCATTTTTTTGACTGATTTACATTTATTACCATCACTTGGAAACCTTTTTGGTTTCATTCATCATCATCATACTGACCATCATCAGGTAGATCGTAATAGTAAAATCAATTGACTGATTGACATAAAAACTGAGTAACCCTGTTAACTAAAAGGTTGACCAGTAACAAAGATCAATAATTTCAATAAAAAAATCAACATCGAAAATCAAATCAAACAATAAATTGCTTGTTGATTGGATAAGAGTAGAAAAGTTAATTGTCTTCTCACCAATTCTATTATTATTATTCACCAACAATCAATTTTCTCAACATTTAACAATTTAGATTAACTTTTTTTCATAACTTCTAATCAATTCATCATCATGATTATCATTAGAAATGAAATTTAGTTTTTCTATTGATTTTGAAAAATTGTTTCCTTTGATTGGTACTTTTTGATTTTAGGACGACAATCAAAAGTGATTTATTGATTGAATTACACAATTAGTTGATTTGATTCAATTTTCTATTCTCTGTCAATAGTAACAACCTACTGATAATCTATTAATGAACAATTAATTTCCAATCAAAGTGTTAGTTAGTTGATTAAACTGATGGTAACATTGTCCACAACAATTAACCCAATCAAACTAAATACCCTTTTAATTGGTAATTAATTTGTTGTTGCAAGAGTAATTATGATGAAAGGTCTAACAATTTATTTAATCTACTAATACTAATTAACCATTGTAATATATAAATCAACAGGTAAACAATTAATCACAATCAAGAAAAACATTGAACTTTTCCATTAACCATAAAGTGAAAACAATAGTGTTAGGGAAAAAGTTTACAATTAATTAATTGTTTCTTTCTTTCTTTAACAATTAAAATCAAATGAAATCATAAATTTAATTGATTTTCACAATTTAACAGTAACAATAGATATTAGATTGAAATGATTAGATAGAAATGAGAAGTGAAAAAGAAAATTCTTCCAACCAGAAATAAAACTGAAAGAAATTGTTAATTGTAATTACAGAAAATTTGATAATTCTGATTAGTCTTTGGTGACAGTTAATTATAATCAAATATCTCGATGACCTTAACATTAAGAATCATCAGATTAGATTCTAATCATGACCTTAAATATCACAATTCTGATCAACTGACCTCAACAATATCGGTGACAAGAAAATCGTTAATCTTGACCATCGTCACTAATATGATTTAATCACAATTAAGATCAATCAATGTTTCCGTTGGGAAACATTATATTGACCTTAAGATATTAATTGTTGTAAATATTATTTTAAAAAAACTATTATAAGAAAAGGTAATTAATAGTTATTGAAATTGATTATTGATTCGGGATAATGATTCTGATTATAATCATGATGATTGTCTTCCGGAAATTGATATGTTAATATGATTAATATGTTGAAATTATCAATTGAATTGCTTCACTAATCATTAAGGTTGATTTACAATTTACTAAGTTACCTGATCTATTAATTGATTGTAACATTATTATTGAGAAAAAAAAATTTAAATCGATACAATTAATTTAAATTGTTCATTATTTCACCTTCATGTTGACAAGTTAATCATCGTTGTTGATTTTTAATGATAATGAAAAAAAAACCTAAAATTTAACCTGAAAAACCAGATTAATTTTCATTAATCTAACCTGATTTGGGTTTGAATATTAATCAACTGATTGTATTACGAATCAAATCAACTACAATTAAAGTTGAGCCTTTGATTATATTGTATCAATATATTGAATCATTTTTCATGTTAAACTTGAAGATGATATTAGTTGGTGATTAATATTGATTTGGACTAAATTGTCCTACTAATTGTGATTAATTCAAAGTACATGAATGTATTAATATACTGATTAGAAGCAGTTGATTATGATTTACATTTACATTTACCGAAATAATTATTGTTAAATTACAGTTGATAGTAAAATCTAATTAGTTATTATTATTAGTAATACAATTGTTATCAGTGTGATTAGTTGTTAGTTAATTTTTAGTAACACAATTTAATTATTACAATCATGGTAAAATTTGTAAGGGTAACAATTTACAAATTATTACAATAGGATTAATATCATTATCATCCAGATCATTGAAATGAAATATATAACATGATGATTGAAAGATTCATGAAAAGTTCAATTGAATCAACTCAATTACCATGACATTGGTATTATATTATTAATATTAGAGAGAGGAAAAAATTTATAAACAGAATAATAAAAAATCACTGACAGTTAATAGGCTAAAGTAATTTGTTGGTTCATTTACTTTTTGGCGGTTAACTTAATCTTCATGATAATAAACAAGGTAAAAAAAACCTTGAGGTAAACAAGGTAAACATATACATAGAGTAGTAGTAGATGAAAAATGGATGATAAGGAAGAATAAAATGAAAGAGAAGAGGAAGAGAAAAGAATCAAGAGAGAGAGAGAGACCTTACCCAACCAGGTCTGGACCAATATTTGGTAAGGTAACTAATAGCATAGGAATGTTAAGTTAACCCAAAGTTTTCCAGGTTGAGAGAGTCGAGTTACCTGCAAGGGAGTGGAGAGAGTAGACCAACCCACAGGTAACCTTAGGATAACCTTTAGTCTTGATTATGTTTCTCTCTCTCTCTCTCTCGCAGTCTCTCTTTTGCCTCCATCATCCTCATCCTCATCATCTTTGCTTTCATTCAAAGAAGATGATGTATCTTTGGTTAAAGAAAGAAAAACCTGCTTCTGAACAGAAATAGAAAATATCAGCTACTATACTACCTACAGAAATTCAGGATTCCTTTTGGATATAATATATTATCGAATAAAAAAAAGAAAAGATCTGATCCTAAATACTAGTAGAGAGAGAGAGAGAGAGAGAGAGAGAGAGAGAGAGAGAGAGAGAGATGTTGAGATAAACAATTTCTAAATGAGAGAGAAAAAGTTACCTGATCTTTCAAGCAAATCATCATGATGAAAAAAAATCAGGTAAATAACAATATTATTAGACTAATATGTGTTCAGGGAGATGATGGATTATATTGGTTTAACAAAATTAGTGACAGAAACATTAAAGGTTTAATGATTAATATTCACATAGAGAAAAAAAAAGTTGATCACTTTTTTTGGGAAAAAAATTGTCATCAGATTCACAGGTAGAGGATAAAACCAATGATCCAATAGAGATGATGAACATTATGATTATATGATAGATAATCATCATAATGATAATCATCATGGTGATAATAAAATTAACTCTCTCTCTCTCTCTCTTCATCCAATCAGAACAATAAGAGAAATCATCATCATCTCTGTTTCTCTCTTGAAATATTTAATCTCACCATGGAAATAAGCAAAAGCTATTGAACTATTAATGGTGTAGAATTTTTTTTTGTTTTATCAATGAGATTTATTGAAAATCAACCATGAGGAAATTTTTTTACACACTGAAGATTAACTAACAATCAAGAGAAATAAATAAAGATTAACAATCAAAAAATTAAACAGAGATTAAAGTAATAGAAGAGATAAAATGAAAATTCTGATCAATATATTAGGTTTCACATTATTTGAGTTTCATTAAGTTTGTAATGATGATGATGATGATGAGGAAGGTGAGGAAACTCAGGTAAAGACAATGAAAAGACATAGAAAAGTGAAATGATGATGATGATGATGATGATTGGAAGAGAAAATTTTGGCTCAGGTTACTAATAAGATGAGTAAAAAAGGAGAGATGAGGATGAGGATGAGGAAAATAAGAAGATACCTATTACTATCAATTCGGTGTTTTTTTCACCATCATTTTCTTGTAAAGGAATCAAAACAAATCAAGTTGAACGTTCTAAGATGATCATCATCATGATGGTGATAAGCATGATGATGAATAGAATTGGTCAGAGTCCAGCAACAGTTAACATGATGCTGATGACCATTTTCAACACGCTAACAAAATAACACGCAATTCAGGTGATGTGAATACGAGTGTGTGTGTATAACACAATCAACCAGAATCATCAGGAAACCATTTCAACATCATTATCGTTATCATTTCAACGATTCAACTCATGATATTATAACAACAACAACAACATGATAACTTTGAGGTCAATTAATTATTGAATAGATGAACTTGAATTTTGTAAACATTAATCGTCTTGTTGATTGTATCATGATGATCATGATGAATAAATGGTTAGTTAATTGTCATTAAATAGGTAAGAAAACAGAGAATGAGAGAGAAAATGTTTTTACAGAATTGAATAGTTTTCTTCATGTTTTTCATATTCTTGACAATTGATTTGATTGTTTTTCGCTCTCTCTGTCTAAATTGTAACTGAATGATTTTCTTGATTTGATTGTTTCTCAACAGCGAGATTGTATTACTAATCAAAGATGATGATTAATTGATAATCGTTGGGAGGGTCAAACATGCAAATAATCACTCACCTCGATTAGGTTCACATAGGATTGGCTTAATGTGATTGACCAATAGAAAGTAAATTAATATTGTGATTAACGTTGATGATGATTTAATAGTTATCATTGGAGATGGAGGTGATTTAGATGAAGATGATGATGATGATGAGGGTAATGGTGAATTTAACACCGATAATAATGATAATTGTTTTCTAATTGTTCTCATTGTTGTTGTTGGTGGTGGTGGGTGAATAATCCAAGCAATAATCACTTTGGAATTGATTTGGAAATTGTGAATCACATTGAAGATTAAGAATTACGATTACAAGGGATGAGAATAAAATTAAAGACACTTGAGAAAAGAGCACTTTTTTGACAATATAATCCAATCGGTTGAATTACATGGTTATCTTTTCATATTCATGATAAGATTATCATGAGAGTTGAGATTAACAAGTGAACTTGTATCTGAGCATAAATCCATGTTGATTATCATTCAATTCACCATGAGTATGTATTGTTATCTTCAAACGTTATTGATATAAAAAAGATGATGATGATGATGATGAGAGGAAGAGGATATTATATGTTTTCCATTGAATGTTAATAATCAGCTGAAGTCTAAAGATGATGAGGAAAAGAAGAAGAGAGAAAAAAAGTTGATTAGAATTTGAATTGACAGTGAGAATAGAAAATGGAAAGAAAAACAAAAGCGAGAGAGAGAGAAAAAGAAACAAATGATGAAATGATGATGAGAAGATGAGATTATCAACAATCAAGAGAGAGAGAAAAGAAAATGACAAAAGGGAAAAGCCACTAAAACAGGTAACGATTAAAACGGAAATAAATTAACTGTAAACACCGACAACGATTAACATTAATCTTAAAGTCGACACTTTTTCTTAAGGTGAATCAACAACCAGCATAAGTTAATGAGAGTCTTGATTGACACACACACACAAGTAGACAAAATCTTAATTGTATCGGGTTAATGGTTTAGATTTGTGTTGACAGAAGTAGATTACAATTAAATTAAAAGGGAGAAAGTTGAGAGAAAGAGAGAGAGAGAGAGAGAGAGAAATTAAATTAGTGAAACAATGAGAAAACACCAAAGAGATTAAGGTAATTGCAGAGAGAAACAAATAAACATGAATGGAAAAAGATATTAAGATGATGGCGATTCAATTATAATGATGTTCTTGTTGTTGATGATCCAGATAATTGAGGAACAATTTAGTTACAATTTAAATTAGATGTTAGATTAGATGACCTACCGTTTCAATTAATTACAGTTGATGACCATAGTGTTTAGGTGAATGTAAACATGGGATGAAGTTGGAAAAGAAACAAACAACAAGAGAGAGAAAAGTATTGAGAGTAAGTTGGTTGTGTTGGTAGAAGAGAATGGAAATGGAGAGAGAGAGAAAAAAAAGAGAGAGATGAAGATGGAGAGAGAGAGAAAGAGAAAAATAAGAAAAAAAGAAAGAAAAGAAAGAGAAACGTTCTAACGCCGCTGAAACATGTTACTCTCTTTCTACAGGTAGTCCGATTCTTTCATACTCTCTTCCCTTATGAAGGTTTTTCTTTCTTTCTTTCTTCTTCTCTCTAAGAAAACAAAAATGCCTTACAAATCATTCTAAGAGAAGATAAGAAAGAGAAAAAGAAAAAGAAAGAAGATAAGGTAAACAGTAGAGAGGAAGAAAGAGAAACCTGTTCATCATCGTCACGAAAAAAGAAAATTCTCTCTCTCTCTCTCTCTCTCTCTCTATTCTTCTTCTTCTTTTCTCTTTCTCGTTTCTCTTTCTTTCATCTGTCTAACTTTTCTTCCTTTTTTATCATCATCATCTTCTTTCTCTTCCATAGTAAATCAGGATGATGATGAGAAACCAAGAAAAAGGAGCCATTAGATTAACGCGGGAATCCAAATGTTTTCCTTCAAATTTTCTCTCTCTCTCTCTCTCTCCATATGAACGGTCAACTCCTTGACCTTTCACCTTTTTCTTATGTTTTAATAGGAAAACAATAACTAGTAACCTTCAACCTCGAAGATTAATTAATAATAAAAGAGAGAAAATAAAAATTCTCTTCATTTGTTTATCCCACGATTTTTTTCGTTTCGTTTCGTTCGTACCTTTAATCTAAAAGGTAATCATTAAGTTCACTGATTAATCGTTTCACTTACAATCTAATCTAAATTATGTCTCCAAAGCAGATTAGTTAAATTGCCGATTGGATTAACAATTAGATTTAAATCTCCACTATTCCTGTTAATTTAACTGTTGTGACCTGAACTTTTACCTTTTGGTTACAATTGAAAAGACAAACTTTTTTTTTGATTGTATTGATTAACGAAAAAAAAAATAATACTAATCTCCTGTTAATCTGATTGCGGATAAACACAATTTAGCCACAATCAAAATGAATCAACAATCAAGTTCATATCAAAGAGTTAATTGTTACTGACACAATAATCATGAAAACTGTCATTGAATGTCACTAAGATGATAGCTGATTGAATAACAAATTGTTAACAATTAAGTTTAATATTGTTGAGTAAACAATAAGGTAAACTAAATCAATGAGAAATCAAGTGATTATTATTAATAAATATTCACTGATTTAGTTAAACAAATCAACGTAATAACTATTAATAAATGAAAACACTTAGATAATGATGATGATACACTTACATGATTAAACTATAACAACAACAATTTAGCTAATTATATGATGATCATGATGATGGTGTTAATTGTTATCATTTATTGGCACGTATTTAAGGTAAATAATATCATCTGCATGCTCTGAATATGAATTAATTGTTACCGATAACAAATCTGTATTATAATCATTGGATTATAATTAGTTGTGTGTTAAGATCAACATTGAGATTTAAATTGTCATTAAATTTGAGTTTCAAGAGTCTAATCGGTTCATTGAGATTTACAACAATTTAAATATTGTAACAATCAGACAGAATTAATCATCTTCATGGTGATGATAATAATCGGGAAATGTTGATAATCTTGAATTGAATTTTGTTTCTAATCTGATAATTTGTGGATTCTTATTATTATATGAAAAGGATTCACAGTTAATTCAGTTATTCAATATCATCGTATTGCTGATTATATGATTTTTCAATTGTCATGATCATGAAACTGTTACAATAACAATCAACTGGGTTTAACTGTTTCTTATAAATTGTGAGATTGAATTTCATTGATATTGAACACTGAACATTGGATTAGTCAAACATGAGAAGGTTATATTGAAATAATGGCGAAAATAAATCTAATTCAATTTCGTTCATTTGTTAATTGTCAATGGAAAAACGTTTTCTTCTTCATTATCATTCTCATGGTTAATCATTTGGTTAGACAATTGATTAATTCTCTCTCGGGTGTGGTCAACTACTATTACTATTATTTCACAATTCACCATCTTTACTAATCCATTGAGAAACTTGTATATTACATTTCAATTCATTTTTCAGGTTCAACAACAATTTAAACTCTTAATCAATGGATTTAGTGTCATCATCTTAATCTTGTATTCATCACTATTAATCCTTTTGTACTTTAATTGTTATATTATTGAAATGATTAAGAATCATCATTCAATTCAAATGATTATTACAAATAAAATTAATCATTGAAATTTACTCAACTTTCTCAATGAACTATTTTCAAAAGTTATCATTAGTTGGTTGAAGTTACAAATTGTTTATCTTTTTGTGTACAATTTGTTAATTGTTATCATCATTTATTTAACATTGATTATTAGTTGATTATCAATTAAACCAGAATAATCAAGTTGATTCGTTGATTAACCGGTTGACATGGTTGGTTAACACCCAAATAGTATTGAGATGTTGGTGAGCATTTTGTTTATTATCATTTAAATTACGTTGATTATGATTACATTTACAATCGAGTTAATTAACTTACTAGACAACCTTGAATCGATTTTTATTTGCTATTAGAAATCAACAGATTTAGTAATTATTTACTAATCTTTAATCACTTTAAACCTGATCCATTCATTTACCAGATTATCTGATCTCATAGGAACTTGTTTACCTTGACTTGATATTAATTCAATTCAGTGAATTAATTTTAACAATTTAATCATGATTAGTGTTTCTCTCGTTTTTTTATTCTTGTGTAAAAAATAAAAAAGGTTAATTCATTTTCCTTGTTAATTAAATTTCGGTGGAAATTGATTAGAGGTAATTGATCATTTCGCTTTATATGGATTTTTTGATTTTCTTTTTTATTTTGTCAGATGAATCAATAACCTTTCATTTTAAAATAGTCATTGATTAGTAATTAAACAATTGTATATGTGTGTGTGTATGTGTAAGTTATGTTTACAATTTGAATAGAAAAGGCGAGAAAAAAAGGATTAATTTGACAATTAGCATTAATTATTTCGGGTGAGAGTGAGTTTTGTTTTGTTTTATCATTGTTGTTGTTGGTTGGATGTGTTATATTGTTTTTATATGAGACAAATATAAAGATGCTTCTGATAATTGATTTGATTGAACAATTAGAGTTGATTTTTTTTGTTGCCAATTCAAATACACGCAGGTGAAGAGGTGGAAGTGGAGGAGGGCAAAGATGGAGGATGAGGAGAGTGGAGAGAGATTATAATTTGATGGTTTGAGAAATTTGATCAAATCCTTTCATATAAATACAGATAACCAAGATCTTTGGGTAGGTTTTGAGAGATAGCAACCTTATTGTCATTGAAAATGACCCAATGTCCATCTTTAAGAATGTGTGAAACATAATGTCCACACATTGGTGAGTTACCCATGTGACTGATAATACCAATTAATTTGTATTTTTCACCGCCATCCCGAAGAGGTCGAGGTGAACTCGGTGGTTTGACTGGTTCAATAGGGAAAAGATCGGGTACTTTACAAGCATCGACTTGCATTAAACCGACTTCATCTTCATTCTCGTCGTGACTGAAGATCCAATCGATAGCCATTTCAACACTGTTGTTCTAGAGGAGAAAGGAGAAAGATAAATGATTGTGTAAGTGAAAAGAAAATAATCAAAGTTGCAATTAAGATTGAAGATTAAATTTTGAAAATCAACTTACAGTTTCTTTAAGTGCACGAGTTGCTCTATCTCGACTTATTCCCATATTCATCAACGAATCCAAGGCACTGGAATCAGGAACAAAGAAATTGAATGAACCCTCAGATGATTTCGGCTTTTGTGGCTGTAATCCGACATCCTCGTCGAAAGGTTCATTCACTTCGGGATTACCTTGATTTTCTAGGAGCCAATTAAGAGCTGCCTCAACACCGGTATTATTTGTCCGAACCAAGGCTCGTTTAGCAGCGTCCAAACAGAATCCAAATTCTCTTAAACTTTCAATGTGATTTGAGTCTAAACAAATTTTATGCGATGTGGATTGAGATGAGGGTAAATTCAATTGTTGATGTGATTGGGAAGATGATCCACTTCCTCCTTCTGCTCCAGCGGGAACAGTATCATCAAGAAGCTCTTCTCCTTCCTGTAAACCTCGACCTCTAAGACGAGAAATGTCAATCTCATCGGGTACTTGAAGGGAAACATCCAACTTTTTAGGAACCCAATTAGTATCAAGGGCAAACTTTTTGATATGTAACATTAAATAGTCTGGAAAGGTTCGGAGTTTGGTTATTTTGGAAGCCGTTGTTTTAGAGTTAATTGCTGTAGAGTAAAAATCTTCAATAATCTCCGGCTCAATCAGTGTATCACAACATGCTTCAAGGGGAACAATATATCGGACAAGGTCAACTTTATCATCTTTACCGGAAGCTTTTTTCTTCTCCTCGTAAGCGGTAACCTCATCTTTGTTCAACGCTTTGTTCAACGGAATTTGTAGTGACAAGATATACTCTGATCTAGTTGTATAAGAAACTTTATGTGATTGATTACATTCAATTCTTTCCTCAATCTCAAATTTGAGACTATCCAAGGGATTGGAAGATGCACCACCGGTTTGATGTCGTTCGATAATGTTAACCAAATGAAGAAAATATTCATGTGCATCTTGTTGACGTTTTGTTGAAAATTCACAATGTCCACGACCGATCAAATTTTTAAACATTGTTGGCTTAATTCCAATTTGTTCGATACAATTTTCGTTACCAGGCTGTAAGGGTATACTGTAATCACCAGAGAGTAAACCATGAGCAAGTTTAGCCATTTGAGTGGTAAAATCATTGGTTGGATCGCAAGGTGATTCACAAAAGATATTCCTATCATGATATTTATTCTGAAAATCTGGAATCGAGAAGATAACCTGCATCACCGAATTAAGGTAACACGAATTACCCAAATTAACCATACCCGTTAAACCAGGACCAGTGATTGGTATTAATTTAGCATCAGATTCTTGGATAATAGCCCATTCACCAATTCTCTGATTATAATCTAATTCCAATTCTAACATTGTTTTCTCAGTTTTACGTAAAGCTTTTACATCAATACCAAAATGTGCTAAATGTTGAGGTAATAATGGATCTTCAACCATGTTATCCTCATCATACGAATACACATCGGCTGATACTTTATCCTCATTAAAAGTAATTGTACCAAGTTTCACAGCTAAAGGATGTTTAAATTGTTGATAATGTTCAACAGCATGATTATTACCACCGGTTCCATCAAAAAATGATCGACCACATAAGATTGATCCATCAGTTAAATTTAACCAAAGGTTATCTTTAAGGTCACATTTTTCACATTTCCATCCTTCCGGTGGGATTTTTACTCCATTATCCAATTGCAGAAGGTTGTAGGCATGTTTGGTTATTTGCCTTTTCTCACCATCCCAAGTTCCACTGAGAGAGTTAATTTCTTCAGATAAAAAAGCAGAATCAGAAGCAAGTATACTAGAAACACAAGCTAAAACCTTTAGAGAAAATGAAAATTGAGATAAAGTGGAATTAATATTTATATGAGAATTTAGAAAACAGGGAAAAAGAAAATGAATTTTTTACCTTATCAGGTAGATTTTCATTAGGCAATGGGATCCTTTCATATTGAGGAAGCACAACAATCTCATTTTGCTCATGGTAAGAGAATTTACCTTCGCCCCCAGGGTTATAACCACCTTCAATTCCAATGGCGAGTTTAGTTATTTTCTTTGGTTGCTCACCATCACCGGTTTCACTTGGCTCCTTTAGAATATACAAAAAGTGAAAAGAAAAGGATAAAAACATACAAATATAGAAAAATTAAATAGATACTAAGATTTTTCCTTCTTTTCTTTTCTCTCTTTGAGTAAAATAAGAGAGAAAAAGAGAAAGAAAGAGAGGAGAGGGTGAAGAAAATCTTAAATTCTTCAACATGTTATGTGGTTTAAAGACTCACATGGATTTTGATTCGTTTCAATTTAAGGTAAACTCTTGAATTTGTCTTCTCATAGTGAAGATTGACATATTTAGCGCTAAAACCAAGGAATGTCTTCATACAAACATATAAACCTTCCTCGGATTCCTAGAAAAGAAAGAAAAGAAAGAGTAAAAAAGAGTGTTAGTAAAAAAATGCGAAAAAGTAACATAAAGGCGAGAACACACACAGAGAGAAAGAGAAAACAATCAATTCTGAGAAGTAGAATAATCATTCCAATGATTGAAGAAATTAAAGACTAAAATGTATCTTGATCTTTAATCAATGGACATTAATTTCAATCAAACAAAATTGCTAATTAATTGAAAGATTCCAAGGTAATTACCGGTGTATCATAACTGTAGACACATTCATCTTTGAAAATTTTATCTCCAAGAGCTGGAACCCGAATATTTGGTAAATTTTCAACCAGTAATTCCATTATTGACACTTAATACTATTCAATCTAATTAAGAAAAGAAGGTTGATTAATGACAATTGATGAGGGGTAAACAAAATAAAAGAGAAAACAATTTAACTAAATCAAATTTAATTCTAATTCAGCCAACTATTATAAAGAGAAAATGATTAAAAACAAAACTCAAATTCACATTACCGGAAAAAAGAAAGGGATCGTTGAGTAATTACGTAACCGAAATGAAAGAAAAATTTTTCAAAAAGATTTTCAATTTTTCTTAACAATTAAATCTAATCACTTGGAGTAATTAGTTAGAGTTTAATTTTAGAACAATTTCTTTTGTTTTTCTTCTTGAGATTTTAATTGTTTCTCTAGTTTTTTAATTAATTGATTTTCCATCTTCTTTTTATATGGAATTGATTTTCTAATGAGATTTATTGATGATCAATGTTAAATTGTTAATTCTTGTGATTGGGTTAATTTTTTATTTCTCTAATTGTATTGGTTAAGTTGTAATTTTTGACTAACCTTTTAATTATTTTTTTGTTTGAATCGATTGATCCAGTTTGTTCTGAGATTTTATTGTTATTTGTTGATTTGACATGACATCGTTACTTAATCAGCTAATTGTTTAAAGTCAGGGTTATAACAATTAGAGATTGAAAGTTTTAACAAAAAATATAGTTTATGATAAATGATCATTAATCAGTTTGATTAATATTGAAGAGATTTTTTTTTAAATTTAAAAAAATTAACATTTAGAAATTTAAATTTGATTCTGATTTGGTTAATTGTTGATGTTTTCCATTCAATTAGATCAAAAATATGTGTGTATCTTTATGGGTTTTGAATTTTTATCATCATTGTATTTAGGATATTGAGGTGATTATTGTCAAACAAAATCGTTTTTTTTTTGATATTCAGGAAAAGCAAAATCAATTGTTGTAACTCGTTTGATTTGATCATTTGATTCCAAGGATATTGACAAAACATTTCTGAGGAAAAAAATAGAGAAAAAAATATCAATCAGTTATCGTAATTAAACAATAGTATAACAATTAAGGTGAAAGTCAATACCAACCATTGTATCTCTTTGCATTTTATCATAACAAGATTCCCTTTTCTTTGATGATTTAATTAGCAAACATTTATCCACAATATGACCATGATTGAGACCTTTACCTTCCCGAATACACACGACAAACTAATTAAAAAAAAAAAAGAGTAATTAACAATCAAATGGAATAGAAATCACAATTTATACCAACCTCTCGAAGAGTAATATCTTTAGTACAAACTGCTTTTCTCATCTTGGTGTAAGAAGTTTCAAAATCATCGGATGGAAATGATTTCTCAACACAATCCCGAATCTCAGTTGATTTCTATAAACAAAAGCAAAAGAAAAACCATAAATCATAAAAAAAAACCAGCAAATTAATATAAATAAATAAAAGTGAACAATCAAGTAACCACAATTTCCACCATTAAACAAAAGTAAAACAAAGAAACACTGAAGCTCCTCGAGACCCACAAATTAAACCCAAATAAATTGTGATAAAACAGTTAATTGACAAGAAAGATCATAAAAATGAACAACACAATTAACGATGTAAATTGTGAAAAATGTACTTACCACATTTGTAGGCTTAAAGATACACTCAAAAATTTGATGATTCTGTTCATCGAGAAGATAATTATCCAAATTACAATATTTCTGTTTAATCATCGGATTTAATCCTCCAGATTTACCGAATTTCTCATCACGAGCATAAGCTTTTTTCGATGTAACACAATTAATTAAAAGAATTAAATTAATTAACAAATAAACGGAAAAAAAGGAAGACCAAAAGTAACGAGACGAATTCATGTTAACACTTGGGAAGATTAAAAGAGAATAGAATAATTTGTTACAAAAAGAATAGAACAAAAAAGATAAACAAAGAGAATTGGAGGGAATCGTTTGGTCAATTGTTCTCTCGCTCTCCTCTTGTTAACATGTAGAAATGTAACAATTTTGATTAGATTAATTTTCTCTTTTTTCACTAATATCATCAATTAAAGTTCGTAATCCATTAATCAACGTGAAATTGTCACCAGCAATAGTAATTAACTCGTAATGTGATTGTAATCAACAAGTACCAAAAGGATAAGTGATTTTTTTTTGGTTAACCTTTTGGATTGTGTTAACATAACATTTATATGTTACCACCTCTTTTAATCACCACCCACCATTTTATAAATGAGAGACAATTGTTATTTTGTTGATCATCATCATCGTTAGTGATTTAAATTGTTTGGTAGGTTGAATAACCACAATTAGATTAATTGTGAACAATTTATATTCTCTTTTTCGCATGTCTCTCTTTTTTTGTTGTTTATCTTCCAACCAAACATATTACACTTTTTGGAACTGATCTTGTTAGACTATGAGATGTGCTCCAATTAATCCAAAGACTTTATTCTTCTTATTTTATTATTTTTATTCTTTTCTCTCTTATTATGTTCATTTTTCTTCTTTTTTCTTCTTCAGGAATCGTTCCTTTAAATTCATCTATATTTCCATCAATTATATGGTTGGTAAAATTATAGTGGACAAGGTCAAGTTTATATGGAGTATTGTTGTTGTTGTTGGAGTTTCTCTTTTCTTGGCTCATCGTATATGTTTTTTGCTCTCATCAATTGCATGATTATTGGTAATTTAACTTTGATTTTGATTAACTTGATTTTTGAGAATATTCAATTTTCTGATTCTTTTTTACTTCTTTCATTGTACTTTTTCAGTTTAAATTCTCATTCGATCAGATTCAATGGAGCGAGAGAAAAAAATATTCGACCCACATTTTCTCTGTTTATCTTTGGTTCATTGATTTTCTTTCTCTTTCTTGGACTCGAAATTCTCCTCCAATCGTCATCATTTTATCCAAATTTAATCATGAAAGCCTTTAATACAGTAATCTTCAGGTGTGTTCTCTTAATTAACTAAAAGTTGAAAGTTAATTGATCGAGAAGAGAAAACAAAAGAGCCAAAATTAAATCAAATTGAAGTTCAAACATATCGACAACAAGAACGAAAAAAATTAGCAACTAATGAAAATTTCTTTCTCTCTCTCAAATGGTTGGTTAACAAGACTAAATCTGAAAGTTAACAAATTGTTTAATCGCTTCTTAATTGCTTGTTGACATTTCTACAAACTTTTTTTTTACGTTTCTCCTTCGTATTGAATTAACTTTCTCTCTCTCTCTTCTTCTACTCTCCCTTTAAGAAGAAAACGAAAGTTATTAACTATCAACAATCAAAATGAACCAACCAAATGAAGAGAAATTCCATCAAAAAAACTCAACAAATTGTTTATTCTCATCAAATTAACTAAATCAACGTGAAGAAAAAAAATTAAATCCAATAATCTTTTTCTCATTCACATCTTAACATAATCACGATTACACATGACATGAAATAGAAACTAAGAAATTTCAATATTCATCTCCTTCTAAGCTCAACAATTAATCAATCTATTCAAATACTCTAATTTACTAACTACTAATTATTAATCACAGATAATCACTTAATTGTCAATCAATTTTGGAAAAAAAGACAAATGTAAGTTAGATGACAATAGATGGCGTAACTTTCCATGTAAACACAAAAAGCTTATTGAGTTGAGTTTTTTTCTTGTCTCTTGTTTTTTTTTCAAATCTCTTTCTCTCCACAATTAACAATTATTAATCAAACTCTATTTATGATTTAAACTATTAGTTAATCTTGTTAATAATCTAAGTATGGCCTCAATCGAGAAGCTGGTTAAATCATTGGAAGCTTTGAAAGTACTCCAAGCATCAATTGACAAACCTGAAGAACCGTTGATATCAACAAAATTTATGTAAGTATATTTGTTATATGATAAACATTGTTGATTCTGTTTTATTTTGGTATTGATATTTTATTTTACCTTCATTTATGATGATGACTATGCTTAACAATCAATTCAACCTCTTATTACGTTAATTTTTGGCAATACCTTTCTCAGAGAGAGAGAGAGGGAGAGAAAACAATTTGCTTGCATAATCAACCAACCTAATAATCGGATTGAATTGATAATTAAACCTGGAAAAGATCATTATTATTGTTTTATTATCAATCTTTCTAATTGATAGTTTTTATTTTTATTTTCTATTCAACAGCAAGAAGGAAGCGTCTATCAGTAAGAAGGAGAAAATCTCTCACTGTATCAACATTGCGGATATAATATGTTGCTCTCAATTAAGGTATTGTCTTATCTTCTTGTGATATCTTACAGACGAAATTTAATTTCCTCTAAACGATTCCATGAAACTTGCAATTAGATCAATACCTGTACCGTTTATTTCACTGACAATTGGTTTATATTATTATCATGCTTATAATATTGCAATGATTGATGAAATTTAGCTTATATTTGACATTGAATATTGGTTACTAACTATCATACGAAATCTAATATCTTCTAATTCATTTGATGATTTATTTTATCTAATTATATCCACCCTGTTATTGTTTTTCTCTCATTAGGAGTATGGAGGATTTTCAAAAATTTTTAGGAATTGCAATTGAAACCATGTTGGCTTGTTGCGATGATACTGATGCTGATGTCCGTTCCAATGCCGGTGAATGTTTAAATAGGACCATTAAATCAAATATCGATTGTCACCTTAATCGGATTCATGTTGAATTATACAAAGAATTGAAGAAAAATGGTTCAAGTCGAAGTATTCGTGCAGCTCTAACCCGTTTCGCTGAACTTGCTTATCTTCTTAAACCGGCCAAATGTCGTCCTTATTTGGTACAATTAATTCCAGTATTAGAAAAGATTAGTGCACGAACGGGAGAGGATAATATTCAAGAGACAATCACCTTAGCAATGAAAAAGTTAATGCCAGTCTTGGGTCGATATGCAACCGAAAATGAGATCTTACGTCTTCTTAATTGTTTCCTGTCCAATTTAAGTTATTCTCTGGCCTCTGTTCGTCGAACTGCTGCAATATCATTAACTTCGATATGTCAACATTCAAAGAAACCACCTTACTTTTATTCTTGGCTAATTAACAATCTTCTTAAATTATTTCACTCCAATCAAAACAAACTTAATCTTAGTCACAGTCAACTTTTAGAGACAAACAATAACCTTCTCTCTGGAATATTTCAATGTCTTAAAAATTTATTTCCATTGTTAAACAACATTCCAGCTGATGAGGAGAACCAAAGTTTAGTGATTACACTTAAACAGAAACAAGTTTACGAGAAACAAATGATCAATTTGAAAGACAATCTACTTCAAATGTACGAATTATTGTTACACAGTTTACGATATTCATCTGATAATGGTGTCATTGTCTCGGCTCTTGAAGCTTTACTACAACTTTTACGTTCACCTCCCAAATTGATTCTCAATAATTTACTAAGTATTAATGGAGTTGGTCAATCTCGTCTAAATGATTCTGGAATCACGGCTTCAATACCATCATCACCTTCAATGTCAGTCCGTCGGTTAAAGGAAGGATCTTCAATCGGTGGTTCAACTGATAATGTCGCCTCATTGGAAGAAGATGAAGATATTTTAATTGGATCATTTTCTCAAGACACAAGGAACACAAACACTTTGAACCTCAACATGCGAACTGATTCAGGTGAAATTTTCCGTCCGGAATCTAGTCTTAGTGAACCAGATGAAAATGTTTACGATCAATCAACAACCAATAATAGTATGGAAGGAAAAGATTTCCAATCATTTGATGAGAAAAGTTCACTTTCATATTCACCAAGAATTCTGCCAATGATTTTAAATCATCGTCATTCTCAACAAAGCAGAGAGGAGGATCAACCAAATGAAGTACCATTATCACCAGCACCATCGTTACCAAGTTGCTGGGATTCTGATATGATATATCAGGTAAACGCCAGTAATAAACAACAAACAAGATTTATTGTTTTCTATTTAGTTCAAATATCTAATCATCAATTTTTTCCCCATTCATTAGATTGAAAATATTGGCGATTTTACTTCAGAAGACACAATCCCATTAGAATATTGTACTCGCTTGATTTGCGCCAAATTTTTGCTCAATAGCACAAAAAACGGTCTTATTCCTGATAAAACTGTACGAATAAGTGTCAAGTCTCTTGCCCTTAGTTGTTTAGCACCAATCGTACAACTTTATCCAAAAGCGTTTCTCCTCGATCTTCAATTGTATCGACACCCACCAGGTAATAAGACTCAAGAATTTGCACCAGTAGAGTTTTTTTTGATGATTCTTATTGTAGATAAATTCATTCTAATCAGATTTTTTAAAATAATTATTGATTGATTATCATTTTTTCAGATTCTCCTCAAAAAATTTGGGATATTACTCTTTACTCATCTCACCCTGATCCTCATCTACGAAGTCAACTCTCTCTTGTGATATCAACTTTTATCAAACACGTTCTCGAACTACCTTTAAGTTTCGATGAATTTATCAGTGTTAATTGTGCTCCATCGGATATTAACGATGTTCCAAGTTTAGAAAATTTAATCATGAAGCACATCTACCCGATACTTTATGAATCTGGAAATACCTCATCCAGCATTAGAAATGCTCTTCAATCATTCCAGATTTGTCTTCCGGTTCTAATAAAATCCAAAGAAAACATTACCAATATTTTACCCAAGGTTTTAAATCGTCTTATTTTATTAAAAGATCATAATTATTGGCTTGTTAAAGTGAGTAAATTATTAACCGATCAATCTAATTGTCTATCTAATTTTCTTGTTACTTTTTCTCCTTTTGTTTCCATAGGCTGGTCTTCTCGAGCTATTATCCAATTTACCTTATACAGAGATATTTTATCTAGAAAAACGTTTATCATTAGCCAAGAATTTTAATTCGAAAACAAAATTCCAAGATATCGTCATTGACGAAGTATTTTTACCTCTTCTATCAGATGAAGATTATCGTATTCGTAGTTCAGCTTCTTCTTATCTTGTTGGGTAAGTTGAACTTTTTATTTGTTTTCTCGTTATATTGGATAGTTAATTTTACTAATCACCTTTTTCCTTTCTTTATTTTAATTCAATTTCTAGACTAGTCAAGAATATGTTTACCTGTTCTAATCAAAATAACGGTGACCCTGTGATAGGAACCACTCAGAATCTTGCTGAATCATATATAAGCTTTTTCTCAAGTTCATCAATGTCAATTCTTCCGATACGTGAATCTTTTCCAATCAAATTGCTCTCAAATGAATTTGATTTTATTCCACCTTTTGTTGATAAAAAGGATTCCATTGTTTACAATGTTTCCATTGAATCAAATTTAAAGTGTATCGTTGATAAACTGATAACCAATCTAACCAACAATTCTGCCTCTAAAGCGACAATTTTTGGCTGTTTTCAGAGTCTCTGTGAGCTTAGTGAGGAATATCTGGTCACTAAATTTCCAAAAGCCTGGGGATGTAAATCAGATGAAAATTCTGGTATCATTTCTCTTCTCAAATATTTATTATATCTACTTTCCAGTTATCCACCTTTGGTCAACGATCTCATTGCTCACCAATGTCTAATCACTTTAACAGGAAATCTTATCTCTGGTCTTTCATATCAAATAATTAGTCAAAGTGAATATGTTGTAACAAGTGATCATGGAATCGGTAGCAGTGGAGGAAGTGGAGTAATTAATGAAACAGAATCTGAATGGGGTGTCTTGGGTAAAGAAGCTCCTCTCTTGGAACCACTTTTATCTCAAGCTACTCAGCACTCGATTAAATTGTTGGCAATTTTTGGCTCTGTTTACGATGAAACCAATAGTCTAATCAATACACCAACCACCAATTCAGTTGTAACCAAACCACAAATGATCTCAACCCTGTCCAGTGCCACTTTAAGTCCACTGAGAAAGAAAAGTGCTAAACCAGATTCTGATAAAAGTGAATTACGTAAAAGTGGAATTGAAAAAGATCGTGTTAAAGCAGTTCAAAGGCAAATCAGTATAACCACCGATCCACTTACTTGGAGAATCTATGAGATTATGAAAAGTACTTATCATTCATCTAAAATAACCATGGATATGGGCGAAAGTAAGTTAGGTCCATTATTGGAATCAATTCTTACTCTACTTTCTCAGCTGATGGAGATTGGATCTTTTCGTCACTTTGTCCGTTTTTCTGAGGATATTTTAGATTATTTGAAAATTGTGATCGTTCATGAACCTCATGCTTCAGTTAAATGTGTCCATCAATTGTTCAAGTGTCTATTTGGATTGAACTTTGTCAATCTGATTGTACAAAATCGCGACGGTGGTGATAAGAATGATCTGCCAACCAAAGGATCACTTTCTGGTAGTGGTGGGATTACAGGTCTCGGTGGTAGTAGTGATTCTGGTGGGATAATTGGAAGTGGACATCAACCAATGGACTATTCAAGCTGCTCTTTTCCTTTACCCTCTTCATCTTCGGGACTTTACCAAGCGGTCATTGCTCGACCTTATTCCAACTTTTCAGATTACACCTCATCTTATGCTCCATCACTCAATTCTTACACTTCCTCACCAAGCTCGATTCCAACTTCTGTCATGACCTCCTCATCTTTGAACTTTCCATCTGAAGATCCCGACCTTTGGCATTGTTACTTTCGAAAGGCTATCGAGAAGCAAGTCTCTTATGTCCTCGATAGAAACTCAGCTCTTAGTCTTTCATCAACCCAATCAACGGGAATTCCCCGAGTAACCTTAACATCACATCTTCGATTATTTGAACCGATTGTTGTTAAATCCCTTCGTCTTTACACAATGACATCTAATCTTGATCTTCAATATGAAATTTTGTCATTTATTTGTCAGCTAATTAAATTACGGGTTGATTATAATCTTCTTGATTCAGATGCCATTTTCCTTGGTTTTGTTAGGAAACAATTTGAATTTATCGAAAATGGTTTACTCGGACCTTGTGATCGACTAATTGGAATTATTTTCAATTTTCTTATCCTTCTCTCATATCCTAATCCAACACAAGCAACTCTTCAAACTAGTAAGGTTAATGTAATCACAGTTCCCAAAATAATTCAAATGTGTGATGACCTGATGGCATCTGATCAACCGCCCGCTGCCTACGCTTTACCCGCTTTGAGACAAATTGTTGAAGATCTAATGTTATACCGATTACCCACCAAAGTCGAATCAGCAAAAGAACTTGATGCTCAACGAGAAGTGGCCATTGCCGCTCTTTTAAAGCTTTCCCATCATCGTCAAAGTCTTTACCTGCTCAATATTATTGTCCATCAATCTCGAAAAGAGGGTGAAGACAAATGGAGAAAAATATCTCGACAAATTATCGATGTACTACTTCCCCTTTTAACTCGACAATCTCTTTATATTGAATCTTATCCCGATCTTGAGATTGTCCATCATCTCTTTGAATCTGTTTCCCCGGCGGTTTATAGACCAGTTGATTATCTTCTCAAAGCACTTTTTACTCCACCCGACCCCAAGTTTCTCGAAGATCATCATATCTTTCAACGTTGGATTTCATCTGTTCTAGTCATCATTCGTGTCTTGATAATCCATGCAAAAGAGGAGATTGTCCTTGCCCGTTTAGATGATCTTTTACCTTCGTCAACTTTTTTCAATCTCAAGTGGATTAGAGATGATTCATTAATGTCAGATGAAACTTTTGATCCTTCTAATTCAACTTCACCTGAAAATGCTTCCATCACCTTGATTGCCGAGTTTATGTTCAATGTAGTTCGAGTTTGTGCTGAAACTTTGATCCATTATCGTGAATCAACGAGCCCACTTTTAAGAAATCGATCAACTTTTCTTGTTGAACAGATTTCGTGTTTCTTACTTTACATGACTCACATGTTCCAATCAGGGTCTTATCGTCGAGTTGCAAAACGATCATCAGAATTATTGAAAGAAATGTTATCTCGTAATTCAATCCTCGGCTCAATCAATTCTGCTTTCAGTAGAATTGAATCTCATTTTCCAACTATCATGTTCCAATGGTGTAACATTCTCATGTTACTTGGTTTTGATGATCATGGAACTCACCGTTTCTGGTACAAGCTAATTAAAGGTTTTGAACAAAAGAAACACGATCCAGCCTCTCTCGATGTCTCACTAAAAGACGACTCTCGATCATCAAATGAAGAATCAACCAACGAATCAAGTGTTGATAATCAGAATCAATTCCTCATTGGCCAATATCCATCGTTGAACATTGAAATTATCCGAAGATCAGCTCTTATCTTACTATGTGACTTTGTTTGTGAAAATATGAATGATGTTGAACAATTAACTTGGCTAATTATCAATAACATCTATGAAATAATTCGTTGGTCCTATGAACTTCCAATTCGTGATTTTATTCACGCTGTTCATCGGAATCAAGCTTCTTCAGGTCTTTTTCTTCAAGCGGTCGCCGCTCGATGTGAAAACTTTCGAGAACCCGTTTTCCTCAATCGTCTCCTTATTTGTATCGAGTTGTCCCACGAGACTCAATCAGGCTCTCTGGTATCTCTTATTGTGGAGAAAATTTTATCCAATCCCCAAACTGAGGCCTATCTGTCCATCCGAATGACCGCCAAACAAATTGCCATCAATAAAATTAAATTTCTCTGTAAAATTGATCCACTGGACGACGCACTGTTACAATTATCAGCTGATGACACGGATAAGATTCTCCATTCGATTGATGCACGAAAATATCGTGATCTTGTTGATTTATTACGAAATTATCGTAGATTAATTTCACCTTCTACCGATGTAAAATCCACTGACCATCCACTTAATGATGATAACGAAGCGACTTCATCATTCACTACAATGGAACTGAATCGTTCAAAAGATTGGTTCCTTTCGTTTTTCCCGAATTGTTATCAATTCTCAACAGTTGACTGGATGGAATTGGCAACTCTTCTAAACAAATGCTCACCTGAAGAATTACATAGTATTTTTGGTCACAAAATCTATGGGCTGACCATTTTATCTCATTGTTTGGTCACTGCAACCAAATTGACTCTTTTCAATGAAGATCCAAATTCTGAACCACAACCATTGAAAGGCAACACCCTTCTTAAAGCGGCTATGGCCTCATCTCAACAACACTTGTCCAAAATTTCATCTCATCTTCCATCATCTCATTCGCCTTTCTCTTCGCCGGGTGAAATGTACACCGCTCGAGATATGAAACATCGAGATTCTTTGGTGGAATTGTTTAGTCAGAAATTTTTCAAAGATCATCTTGTTTCTTTAGTTCCAGTTTTCAATGCTTTCGCTTGTTATGCTGATGAATCTCGATGCTTTGATAATAAACTTGAACCTCGAGAATTGATTCTAAGAATCGGTGTTCTCTACTCTGAGATTCTCTATTTTGATCTTGAATCTTCTGATTACAGTAACATCAGTTCTTATATTAACCTGTTGCACGATCTAACCAAACGTTCATCTTTCATTGGTCTACTTTCTGAAACGAAAAATGTTTCACTTCTTTGCTCTATCATATCAGCGGTTCATTTAACGGTAAAACTTAGTTTCGGCGATTTACCTGAAATATCACTTCGAAAATCTTTCCAAGAGAAAGAAAATCTAACCAAACAAGAGCGATCTGATTATCGTCACTTGGTTAAAGCCTGTGATCGTATTGTCGAGCTTATGATGTTTCTTAAATTAAGTGAATCCAATACTTCATATGGAAAAATTTGTTCATTTACTTTTAAATTGCCTCTCAGTTTGTTAAAGAAAATTAAGCGAATCATCATTTGCCTCTCTCGTATACCTTGTATCAATTCAGTGGTCATGATACCTCCGTCCATTTGGCAACATGATCTTTGGTCACCCGAGTTTACTGGTCACTTTGGAACTGTTTGTTCAACCGTCCCATCAGATTATTTACGTGATAAAGACATTTTGAAACAATTGATTGACCGAATCGCCTCACTTGGTTGGATCAATCGAATTCAATTTGAGGAATTGTGGATGTCACTTTTAGGTGTTATTTCACCAATTCAAGATTCCGATGAAACTTTTGAAGATGCTCAAGATAAACTACTAATTGCTACCATAGGAATCGATGGAATTACAACTTTACTCTTACAAGCTTTAAGGTATCCAGTTCCCGGAAATCCGTTGAAATGTTTATACTCATTCAATCCTTCACGAACTGCAGCTTTCATGCATACCAAGTTTGGTGAAAAATTAACACAATTAAAATACATTCTTCCGGGAATTCATGAATCACCTGAAGAATCTGAAGTTGATGATTGTACTACAACATATTCAATCAACTCTAAACGCCTTTTCTCTGTTGATTATCTTCGTAAACAAATCGGAATCATATCGTCAACTGAACTTACCCCACCAACTTCATCTGGTTCATCATCGGCATCCTCTTCAACCGTTCAATCGCCCACCTCTCAGGGAGCCCCTGATCCTTATACACCTCGAACACCCGAGAATATTACTCTTAAAGAAAATACCGAGATTGATCTTTCCTCATGTATTCACTTTCTTTTTGAACTTTATGGTCAACTGATTACTACCCATATATCACGATCTCCGTTAATCATTGAACTTTGTCGGTCAATCGCTTCACTGATGGACCTTTTCTTTGAGAAGTCACAATATGAGTGGGTTCTTAACATTTTCCTCGATCTATTCCGTCTTTCAACAACCAATGAAGATGACATGGTTACCCAGTATTTAGCCTTTGGTGTCACTCGATCAGCCGCCATTCTCTCAATTGAAAACGACCAACTGATTGAAAAGTGTAAAAAGTGCGTTGAATCAAGTTTGAAAAGTTTACTTCTACCAACAAGGATTAACACTCTTTATGGTGTTTGGTATCTGTTAGAAAAGAAAAATACTCTTCCCGGTGGGAAAGAGACGCAATTCTTACCCTGCGTCTCCGAATATCTAATTAAACATCTTGGGGATGAAAATTTGTAAGTATTTTTCACATCAAGTTCGAAAAGAACTAATTGTTTTTCCATTCTCAATTCCAGGCCAAGTAGTCACAATGAGGAACATGTTATCATCATGTGGGAATTGTCTTTCCATCTGATTGAAACTTTTGTCGATTCATTTGCTGAAAATGATTTCGCTCAGAAAATATTCTTATTAAGCTTGAAAACAATTAGCAGTCCAAGTAATAATGATCGAGTCTATGGAACCGTTTGCAATGGATTAATGAGACTATTAGTTTGTGAAATTTTCAGTATCAAAGATGCTGAAGCAATTGTAAGGATCTCAACGGAGAAACTTAAATCACCCAAATTACCAGCAAGCGAATCAATTTTTTCACTTCGACTTATGGTAACATCGATTTACATATGTAAGTTGTTTTCTTTTAATTCTCTATTCATTTCTCTATCTCCTAATCCATCATTTCGTCTCTTTAATTTCTTCATTATAGATGGATTATCATTCGCAAGTGAAACTACTTTATCTTCTTCACAGTCAACTCAATCATCTGCAACAATTAACTCTAATTCTGTTGGTATTCTAAATTCAAATGATAATAATGAAGATTTACTTTTCGCGATGGAACGGGTTAGACTTATTTTCGATCGGCTTAAAATATGTAATAAGAAAGAAGCCGAATTAATTGCTTCCATTATTCCTCAAATTCTGTGTGATTTCCTTCCGACTCAAGAGATACTCAATAAGATTATTGGTGAATTTTTATCTAATCAGACAATTTATCCTCAACACATGGCTACAATTATTTACAAGGTAAATTTAATCACTCAAATCAAACGGATTAACTAATCAATCAGTTTACTTTTCTTAGGTTTTCAAAATTTTAAGACAACAATCTGAAAGTTCAATGATTCAGGAATGGGTTTTGTTATCATTATCAAGTTTTACTCAAATTCAACCAATTTCATCAGCAATTTGGTCTTTATCATGTTTCTTGGCAAGTGCAGCATCAAATGTTTGGGTTAGAAGCTTGTAAGTTTAATAGCAATTAGTTAATTTCTGGTTTTCTTAAATCAATTCATTTTAATTTCAATTTTTTTCTCTTTTTCATTTCATAGATTTTATTGTCTTGTCGCCCGAGGGAATGGACTTTATGAAGCCAAAGACGAAGATATTTTTTACCTTTGTTGTTGTAATTTTTACGATGAGGTAAATTAGATTCTATTCAAGTTGTTAACTTAATCTAATTTTAATTGTGATCTTTTTCTTAATTGTACAATAGCTCACTAAGGATCATCAAAAGGAATCGTTCATATCAATTTTTGAAGATGTCACAAAATTGGATTCACCTTACAGCAAATTATTAACTTTCCTGAAGAAATGATTGGATTGATGGTCGAAAAAATTAAATAAGATAATTTAACAATCAACAAATTTTTATATATATAATTAGTTAATTGAATTAATTTTTGGGAGTATTTATTTTTTTCTGATTCTCCAATTATTGATTAAGGAGGGAAAATCCCACAACTTAATCCGCTCAATATTATTAATCATCAATAATTTTTTTCTTGCTTAATTGTCACATTATCATCCGTTTCATCATCATCATAATTATCAAGCCTCTAGAATTGTTAATTAATTGTTATTATTAAGATAAATCTGTATTATTAACGTTTAAATACTGTAGTGTTTACAGTTTTTGGTAAATTTTGTAGCAATTAAGAAAATTAGATTAAATAATTTAAACGAAGTTCAGTTTTCTTTTATTTCAAATGCGATTTGAGAGTAACAGAAACTAATTGAACATTTCGATTGATTAACAAAAGATGAATTTAAATGATTAGTTTTGCAGAGAATAAGTGATTAAGGAAATTGACACAAACATGAGGCAATTGTCAGAAATGATGAATTTGCGAAAAATTGTTGATTTTAATAATTTCCTTTTAAGTTTTGTTGTCAATTAAATGTGAATACAATTTTATTAATGTTAAAATTAGATAGTTAATAATTAATTGAGAAAATAATAATTGCGTGAATAAATTGAATTCGTGTGAATTTGAATTTAAAGGAAGTGTCCAAATAAAACGAGTGCTAATAAGTGACAATTAAATGAAGTAAAGAATATTTTTAAAGTTTTCGTTAACGTTGATTGCTCTGTTAATCTCAGCGTTCATTTCTTCGTCGGTCCATTGACGGAGTTTACAAATTTCTCTGTAATGAACTTTTCCACGAGCTGCAGCATGATGAGCATAACGAGCTGGGGCAGGATCGGCGATTGACTTAGTAGCTCGAGCGAACAGGTAACAAAGATAATAAGTGGCCATTTGGAGATCATCAGCCTGTGCAGAGCTTGAATTCCAAAGTACAGTGTATTTTCCTGGACGAGCAGTTCCAAGAAATGAATTTTGACTACACAAATAAAAGTCAAACCATTTGAAGTGACAAACATTAGTGTCGATAACTGATCCTGGTAACATATTTCCATTTCTTGTACCTTCTCTTGGATCAACTGGGAAGAAACGAGCGTTGTGTCTCTTTTGAACGATAATGTAGGTCAATTTAGGAGGATTGGGATACTCTTTAAGACGTTTGTGGAGAGGAAGAATTTCACTTCCCATAACATGGGCGAATTGTCCTTCAGAAACACCGTCGCGATAGACGATAATATGTTCCGGGTAAAAACCACGAGAAGCTTTGAACTTGTCGATGATTGGTCCGATCATACTATGAACTTGACTAGTTCATCTCTTTCATGATTAGCGAAAATTTCAGTTCGATATTTACTGAACTCTTTATCAATCGAACCTACAACGGCAGCGATCGATCGAGCATTTTCACCAGGAGATGGATGATTGACATCAATTCCGACGACCATTGTCTTATCATTCAAAATTGAACATCGAGTGGTTTCGCTCAGCTTCAAATTGGCTCCACCGATTTTAACGTTAATTTTGAGCAATAAATTGCACAGATAAGCAGTATCAAAAAGTTTATGTCTACCATTTATATTAGTACGATGATCGTAGTGTTTCTCCAAAACTACTTGAGTCGGGACACCGAGACATTGATCACCAAGGTGTTTTACAGCACTATAATATTCAACGTTTTCTTCCATAATAATCACGATTAACTGGAGGTTTTTAGTCTTACAAAATTTGAAGAAACTTTCAAGTTCGTTGATTTGAACAACTTTAAAAGGATTGGATGGAGGATGGATTTTCATCCCAAGCATAGTTCCTTTTTCGTGTAAAAGTTTAGCAAATTTATTGGCGACTTGACCATCAATTTTCCGACGGACTAATCCAATCAGAGCCCAACTTTTCAATTCCACAGTTGACAAGAATCTTCGCATTGTCTTATCTTCTTTTGCCATATTCCAATCTCCTAGACGAGGTCCAAAGTTTGGATCATTAGCATAAGTAAGTTTTGGAGCTGGAATGACACGACTCTCGACGGTGACTCGTTCGGGATTCAATTGAATATCAAAATCATAATCGTTTAATTTTTTCGAAACATAATTAGCGATTTGGCCGGTTTCAATACTTCTATCAGCTGGTTTCTGGGTGGTTGTGTGTGAACTCACGATTCTGATTAGTTCATCACGAAGTTTCCGTTGATTACGCTGATTGGGTAAAAGGGAACACAATTCAACAGGAATGTAGTTATTTGAACCATAAACAATGCATGGTAAATGTGGATAATCAAGATGGATTGCATATTGTTGTCGGAAATAATCAGCCACATAGACCTTTGTATTTCCATCTTTAAAGCAAAGCTCTGAACATGATTTTTCAGTGAAAGATTTGATCGTGTGAACACATGGGTAACCACGATATTTTGTTTCAATTCGAAGGAGAGTAAGCTCTTCGAGAGCATGTTTTGTATAAGCGTTTATCTTAATTTCGTTAGGAGATCCAACCTGTAAGATTTCACACATTGACTTTATTAGAGGACCTGCTTTGTAAAGAACAGCAGTAGCTCGGTCAATATTTAACATTGGACCACCTTGACAAAGTTGAGCTGATTGATGATAACCAAAGGCCATTTCGAATCCTGTTGGTCTTCCATTTCGCCCTTCTAACATTTCTATTCGCGGTTTTCTTGCAGCTGAGAAGAAAATTTTGGAGCCATAGATAATATCATTTTGGAAAGAGTAAGTTTTACAAATAATGTCGACCACTTGTAGAATAGCTCGATCATGGGTAATCTGAGCCTCCTTAGAATCTGCATTGAGACTCAAACGAACTCGCACTGTTGGTTTAATTCTAATCAGGTAACTCTGGCTGTAATTCGGATTATTCTCACGAGGTTCGTTGATTGAGAAAGTGAAGATTCTTCCTTCTTTCGCGACATTAGGAAGAGGTTTACTTGTTATAAGGATTCGATCGTTGTCGTAAGCATAAGTTACTCCAACAAAAATCTCTTTACCCGTAGTATTAACAAACTGTGCGAGAAGAGTTTGATTCAGCTTTTTGGTGATTCGCTTGAATTTTCTGCCGACCTCTTGTTCTTTTTTATCAGCGGATGTTTGATCTGGTTTTAGAAAAGCGACATCATATTGGTAGACAGGGTTTCCACCCAATTTTAATCTAAAGAAGTTGGAGTAAAGCTTTATTTTGTTACCCTTTGTTCCGTTAGGAAATTGTGGCCTTAGACAAAGAGGGGGTGGTGGGTTCTTCAAACTGAGACCAGTGAGTTTCTCAAATTCAGCAAAAGAATCTTCAGCACTGTGCTTGAGACGTTGAGATTGAACCTTTCTCTTCAATTCAGCCTCTTCCAATTCAAATGTTTTGGCGATAAAATCCTCAGCTTTGGCTTCTTTTGCCTGTGGGGGCTTTTTACTTTCACTTTTCATAGCTGGGGCAGCAGCAACTCCAATACTTAATTGTCCAATTTGTTCAGGTAAATCACCACTTTCTATTATATGCCCACCACCAACATGAGCTGATGATGTTGATGATCCAGATGGTTGGTTTATACCACCTTTACCTTTTCCATCTCCTTTTTTAGTTTTCTTGGTTTTTTTACCTTGATTACTTTTCTCTTCAGCAATGGGAGTTTCCGTATCACTCGTCATGTTGATTGATTGAACACAATGTAGAAAATAAAATAAAATAAAACCAGATTAAAACAATTAAGAAGATCGCTTGTCACAAATAACAGGTCTTTGTCTTGGGTCAATGAGTAGCGAGGGAAAATAAAAACGAACAATAATCTCAAAGGATATCTTATTCTTCAAAAAGAATTAACTGATTACGAAGATGAAGTAGATGAAATTGACCAATTAAAAGAAAAGAAAATACTCAAAACAATTAGAGATCGTCGATTAAAACATCTAAAAAAAGACGCAGTTAAAGAGTAAAAGACAAGAATAATAAATTCTATTCTAAATAATCTCCTTATAAAGACTCTTCAAGTCGAGTCGAAATTTTCGGCTGAGTCGAAGTCAATTTTTCTCTTTTCAACTTATCCGATCTCCTCCTTTTCTCTTAACACTTTATTATAAAGTCTTTCTTTTTTCTTCTTAATCTCCTTTATCTAAAGAGTTTGATAACAAATAAGAAAAACAATTTCCTGAAAAAAAACGATTCTTTAATCAATCAGCCGAAATCTGGAACCAATAAAAATAAACGAATTCGGTTAAACAACCGTAACCGGATTTCTCACCTTTTAGACAGAGAAAAAGAAAAATAGACAGAGAAAAACGTTAGAAAAAAGCGATTTCGGTTATTTGGTTTCGGCGAATTTTTTTCCGATTAAAAAAATTTTCGAAATTTTTTCTTAATCTTTTAATTAGAATTTCATTTTTTTTCTCTCTCTTATTCAAAGAAACTTTATATCCAATTAAGATCCGTTTTTCTATTCTCACGTCCCTTAAAACTCTTTGGTGATTAATTTTTAATTGTTGATCTAAAAGATGATTAGTTAAAATGGTCTATAAGCTAATCACTAATTTAGTTGATTTGATCAGAAATTCAAATAAAAGGAAATAAAGAAAAGATTAGTTTCCTTTATGGTGGAAACAAATTAATTAGTTAAAGTTCATTTGGATAAAGATAATCAACAATTAGATTTTGCTTATCACTCATAGAATATGATTAATTATATTGATTGTCTTTTGAAATTCTCAACAACTCTGATCATTGGCTTTTGATGCACTCGAAAGTTAAATCTCTTAGTAATTACATCTTCCATGTTGATTATCAGCTAATTAGATCACAAGTTTAATCAAATCTGGATCATCCAGTTATCTTGCTTAGTTTTAATTAGAAAACAGTTAAACTTGTGATCAATTGGAATCATCTTCTTGTCCTTTTTTTTATATTATCCGGACACAATTAAACTGTTACCACATTAGGGTTAATATATAATTCCAATTATAAATTAACTGATGATCATTGGAAATTAAATGATCAACAATTAGGTTGAAGTAACATTGGTAAAGTTATTGTTGATTCAATAGTTTCGTCTTCCCTTAATTTCCGTTTTCAATAATTTCTTCATTTATAATGATCGATATCAAGCAATTTGTTTGATGATGAAAGTAATTTCGTAATTGTGAATATAAATCACTTCGAAAATGTTATCGAGAAAATTAATCACAATTACTCGAATTTTTAACGAGAATTACTTAATGAGCACTGAAAAGCGGTTTGTCTTCGTAATTTATCCTTCGCATCTACAATTAAATCAACTTAATTGCAATCAAACTTTTCTTAAATCTTGTGATGCTTATAATTGAATCGTTATTTTCATTACATTGTATAATTATTATTCTGATGATGAGTGAATTTTAAGTTGAGTGAGTCTATGGAGCTGAGAGAGTGGATCAAACCTCCGCCTGTTCAGAAATTGCTTAGAAAGACCCGAGGCCAAAATTGAAGAGAGAGTGAGAGAGAGAGAGAGCAAGTGAGTTGGGTTGTGTAAGACCAAAGGAGAGAAAGAGGGAGAAAGAGAGAGAAAAATATTTGGAGTGAGATGGAAAAGTTGTTGACTCGCTAATAAAGAAAAAGAGAGAGAGAAAATCATTTATTTTCCACCAAATTAAATGATTCTCTCCAAATGAACATGATTATTAGCTGACATTGAATTCTAATTGAAACAATTTAATCAACACAAAGAGTTTGACAAAAAGTTTGTTTCGAATTTTGGTCCTTCGTTATTATCGAAAGTGAAGCTAAAATGTGTTCGTCGATCGACCCAAAAGTGACCGCTGTCGACTCGCGTAACCTTTACCTTAGCTACAGTAAAGGAACGTCCAAAGTGATCGCTCTTAACAATTTATCTCTGTCGATTCCATCGGGATGTATTTTCTGTTTAATTGGCCCATCAGGCTGTGGTAAAACCTCTTACCTTAGATCATTAATTGGTCTGATCAAAACCGAATCAGGATCGACAACAATTTTCGGTTACCCACTTGGTCATCGTGATCTGATGATTCCAGGTAGAGGTTTGGGTTACATGCCTCAAGCAGATTCTCTTAATGATGACCTGACGATCGGTGAAATGTTGAGCTATTTCAATCGTTTACTCAATACCTATTCCTCATCTGCATCACCGATCAATAAAGTTATCGATCTCAATCGAAGGTTGAAAACCAGTGATGATGATTTTCTTGCGAATTTATCTCTTCCAAGTGAAGATACTCTGATTGGTTCTCTGAGCGGAGGTCAAAAGCGACGAGTGTCCTTCCTTTGTTCAATTCTACATTCACCTAAGTTAATTATTCTCGATGAACCAACGGTCGGTTGTGATCCGATCGTCATAAACTCCATGTGGAAAATATTACATTCAATTACTTCGAGTGAACAATCAACGATCATAATTACAACTCATTATTTGGAAGAAGCTCGAAAAACGGACATGATCGGATTCATGAGAAAAGGTCAGTTACTCGAAAAAGGTTCACCAGCCCAAGTGCTCAATCGGCTATCAGTTAACTCAATCGAAGCTGCTTTCGCCTTAATGTGCCAACGATACAAGAAAAATAAACTCAATCGCTCAGCTAATTATAAACATCGCCAATCGAATGCTAATAACAAGAGTGTCGATAAAAACGCCGAACCAAGTTCGTCTCAACAAGTGAACGAACAAAATTTCACCAAATCATCAACTAATCTAGTGAATACTTCATCGCCACCATCGTCATCTCCATTATCCGTTGATTGGTTTCGTGATAATTTGGCGATACCGTTGATTGTTTATCTACAATTAACCTATGCAATTACTCATCGATTGTGTGTTCGTCAGTTTAAAGTTAAATTGTTACTCGTAGGACCAATGCTCGCTATTGTTTTACTTGTCGCTTTGACCAGCGTTAGTACTGGTGGTACTCCAGTAGTGACCATTGGAGTGATTAACAATGAACAGGAAAATAATGGAGTCAAATTTTCCTCGATCAAATTAATCAACAATTAATTCATTTAGTCGCATATAACTCAACTGAATCTGCTCGACACGATTCACTTACAGGTCAACTTTCCGGTTACCTGATAATTTCTAGTCAATTCACTGATAAATTAGTTTCAAAATACAGTTTCACGGAAAATGATCTGACTGATTCAGAACCAGCTCTAGTTTATCATGGAGATACAACCAGATCAATTGTATTGGCAGCGATTAACTTTCAACTTGAATCAGCTTTAGATGATTCTTTATATGCTATTATCAATCAATCAGATCTTAATCCAATTCTTAGCTCACCTTTTGCCCTGATCGTTGATCCAATTGGTAAAGCGGAATCGCCCATTGATCTTTACAATTCTCGTAATTACTGGATGCCCAAATTCATTGGATTCTGGTCATTTACAGTTACAATTATGCTCTCATCATTTACCTTTTACCGAGATCGAAATGAACCTTTGTACGAACGTAACTTATCATCGGGAACAACTCAAGGTCAATTTGTTATCGGTCATTTTATCACCTCAATGCTCTTACCGTTAGCCAATAGTTGGCCAGTTATAGCATTTGCCGTTCACGTAATTGGTTTAAAATCGAAAGGACCATTAGCCCTTATCTGGTTAATCTACATCTCGAACTGTTCAACAGCGATCACAACCTCTTTCTTAATCTCTTCCGCTCCCATTGACATTGCCTTTATTTTCATTCTCGATGCCGCTTACGTTTTTTCCGGCCTTACGTCAACCGGAACTCTTTGGCCGTTCGAAGCGCTTCCCTATTTCCTCAAACCATACAAAAATTTATTCCCTTTTGTGGTCAATAGCGATTCTTTACTAAGGATAATTTCCCATGGACATTCATGGGACGATTCACTGATTCTTTGGGGATTAGCTCAGAATCTCGGATACAACATAATTGTCCTGATGCTCGTCAGGTTCATCTTGACACTTCAATAATCATCTCATCAAATGTTTACACCAATTCTCATCTAATTATCTTCATAATTTCTTATTAACTTATATAAACTTTTCTACCCTTGATAACAATCAATTTGATTATCGTATTAACCTTGATTTTTGTTTTCCAATGGTAGTTAATTATTAAACCAACTTGACCATCAATCATAGACTCGATTAGTTTATCAACTTTGCTATTTAACTTTGGCTCAAAAACTTTTCACATCCTAACCATTGATTAAATGTTCAAGTTGATCAACAATTTAAGGATTAACTTATTTACCTGAGTGATCAAATCTCCTACAGAGTTTTCCAAGAAATAGTTAAAGTTCAATTAAGTTGCACTTTTATCTGATCTTTTTTTTTGCTTCTTTTGCCCTGAAGGCAAAAATTATTATTATTGCGCTTTGATTTCTCAATTTCCTTGGGGAAAATATTGAGATTTCATCCAGAGAAAAAAAACTAGTTTCTTAATCATGGCCAAGAGATCAAGAGATTAAATAATTATCAACCTTTAATCTTGATAATAATTTAATTATAAACTGTAAACAAAAATCACCTGAAAAGTTATTCAAGATTAAATTGAGAACTAATCAATTCTTTCACAATTATTACACAAAATCCTTCAGATTTATTTAAATTACCGATCACTTGATGATTAGAATACAATTTGATGTAATATTCATCGTAACCGTTTGATTAACTGGAACTAATCAATTTGTTAACATTAATTAAGAAAAAAAAAATTTAATTTTAAAATCAATTGATCGTAAGTATTTTCGAGGGAGAAAAAGTAATTAACTAAACTCGAGTCAATTTACTAATTATTTCCAGTGGATCTTGACCTTCAATTAGGTTAAATTTTAATCAAAATCTTTTTAATTAGTTGCAAGAGATTCGGTTAATTAAAATTAGTTGAAAAAATGAAAAGTTGAAAAGCCAATTCAGAGACTTCGATAGTATCGATCGTATTATCGATAATCGAATTTTTCTAAAATTCTTTTCATTTTTTTTTTCCTTTTATTTGTAAACATTTTTACTTAATCATAACTGTTAATTAAATCTTAATTTTCTTGTTTAAATTTGAATGTCAACTAATTTAATTAACTTAATTTGATTGTTCAACTGTTCTACACTCTATTGGTGCTATTTGATTGTTAAAGTTTATCTCAAGTTGATATAATTTACTAATCTCAATTTTCATTGTTAATCCATTTTAACTCAATCCATTGATTTGTGTTTACATTTTTCTGTTTTAATATTAACTAATTGATTGATTAATTGTTGTTGGTTGTTTTTATCAATTTACAGTTTTGATTAATATTCTAAGATGAATATCGGAACCTCTGGAGGTGAGTAATTTCAGTTTTAAACATTTGATATTTTCTATGGTTCGGTTGTTTCTTCATTCCATTTGATTGTAATGTAATTTAATTCTCATTGTTTTTTTATTTCTTTTCTCTTTGTTGTTATTTTAGATAATCTTTCTTATATCAAGTTTACCATTACTAATTCACGTGATGCAAGAACATGGGAGAAACAATATCCATTGACAATAACCGTGGAAGATTTAAAATGAGATTTGAAATGCTCTCTGGAATTGAAATTAACAACATGGCAATACAATATTATGCAGATAATGAAAATATTGGTGTCTTGGAAAATGATGAATCACAAATTGGTTCCATGATGAAACCCTATGTTGGAGCAGAAGAGAATCGATTACATATAATTGATGTACACGGTAAAAGTGGTTCTTCCTCAGTTGATATGTTCAGCAATTTAGATGCGGTTCCCAAGTTTGAATTATCTGATGAAGAATATGCTAAAAAGGAAACTTCTTTAAGAAAATTTAAACAACAGCATAAACTTGGCCGATTCTCTGAAGGTACAACCTCAGAAGATGGAAATTCAAATGATGATCACGACTGGTCCGTTTTAAAAGGCCTTCAGATCAACGATAAAGTTGAAGTAACCGTCAAAGGACAAGGAGCTAAGAAAGGAGAGATCGCTTATCTTGGTAAAATGCACCTAAAACCCGGTCTATGGATAGGAGTTATTTACGATGAGCCCTCAGGAAAACATGATGGATCCATTGAGGGTGTTAGATATTTCTCATGTAAACCAAATCATGGTGCTTTCGTCCGACCCGCTGATACCAAAGTGATCAACGAATAGCACTTAAGAGAGATACTTAAACCAATAATGAAAATCTCCAATTCAATCAAATCAATCAACTTACCCAAGGATCTAAAGGATCAACAAGCCAACAACGAGAAAACAAAACAATACAATCTCCAAATCATGCAACTTTTTTTTTATCATTAATCCCAAAACTCACAAACAATTGTTAACCTAATTGAAAATGAGTAACTCTAAATGTAACAAATCATTCCTTGCCATGTATTTCATACTTAACAAATGATTTACATGGAAAAAAAGGTTCAATATCAACAAATGAATTTAGGCACAAAATGTTAATCGTTGATATTAATATTCCCTTTGAATATAAATAAACGATTAGAAAAAATTGTAAAAAAGTAAAATAAGTTACCATTCCCATGAGATTCTCATGATATCATGTATAGGTGATGATTCTGAGAATGGAATGAAAAGAACATGAAAAAAGAAAGCGAACAAAAATCGATGAATTTTTCTTTCGATGATTTTCTTCTTTTCTTTTTATCATCCTCATCAGGTTCGTTCTCTCTCTCTCTCTCTCTCTTTCTCTCTCTCTCTTCCTCCTACTTCCTCCAAATAAGGAACCAATGTAATCCAAATAATGTTCAATGTTTATCTTCATTTAATTTTCTCCCCAGAAATTCAGCTAAATAGCCATGCTCAATCTTCTCAATCCTTCATCATCATCTTCCATCAATTCCTTTTCCTTTTCATCTTTCTTTCTTTTTCTCTTTCTTCTTTCCTCTTATTTTTCTTCACCAACACTTATGCCAAAAATGGGTAACAATCAACATCCATCATCACCATTGGAAGATTGTTTAGTTTTTCCACCATAATTATTATCATCATTCTAATGGTGGAGATTGTGATTCCTTCCCTTTAAATAAATTGTAAAATTAGTGAGAATTAGTGAATTAGACAAATTAACCAACAGCAAACAATTTAAATCTAATGTTTTCCAACCGATGAACCAAAAAGCAGAATCAATATTATCAAGTGTCCGTGTAAATATGTGTGACTGTCCATCAATGTTATCATCATTGTCCAGTGTTATTATCATCGAATTGCTTGAGAGCAACAATCAAAGTTTATCATTTAATTTAATTGTTGATTTAAATGGAAAAGAGCAAAATCTAATATCAACGAAGGAAAATTGATTTAATCCAAATTTTTCAAAATAAAAACAAAATAAAAGAGAGAAGAGAAATAATAATTTTCTCTCTTTTTGGCTCTCGAATTTTTTTTCGAGCTTGTCAATTGTCCAAATTTTGGACAATTGGAAATTAATCAAATCATGTTGGGACGTAAACAAAGTCTTCGTCGATGTGAGGTTTTACTTACAGATTATGGACCTGAGGAGACTTTCAATGAATCGGCAAACATTGAATGGGTCAATAAATTGTGGATTCGTCGGTTTTTCCGTCTCTGCGCTCTCATGTCGCTCATATCGGTTTGCCTTAATACACCACAAACCTATCGAATCCATTTTTCGCTAATCTATGTGACATTGGTCATCGATGTTGTGGTCACCTTTTTTTTCACCGCCGAAATGGTCGCAAAAATGCACATTCAAGGTCTAATCAGAGGAGATAAACCTTATTGTAAAGATAAATGGTGTCAGTTTGACGCGGTGATGACGCTTTTTCATTGGATCTCCGTTATACTTCATGTAGGCCACTTTTTAGTTTTCGATTTTCGATTTTCTGTCATTTTTTCTCTTTCTTACATCTAATCTGTTTTTACTGATATGATTTCTTAATAGGTTTTAGAGGTGACTGATTTCGTAGCTAGAGATTCGTCATTATATTCGTTTGTTCGAGCTCCCAGGCCATTGATTATGATCCGTTTCATGAGAGTTTTTCTTAAATTTTCCATGCCCAAGGCTCGGATTCGACAAATTTTCAAACGTTCATCGCAACAGATTTACAATGTAACTCTTTTCTTCCTCTTCTTTATGACCCTTTATGGTCTTCTTGGTGTCCAATTGTTTGGTCCACTTATCCGACATTGTGTGGTCAATGGAACTGACCCTTCAGCGTTAACTCTTAACCATTTGGCTGTTCCAGATACTCATTGTTCCCATGATGGTATCAATGGTCATATGTGTCCAGTTGGAATGCAGTGTATTGAACTTGACCTGGAAAAAAAGATCGCTGGATTTTCTGGATTTGATAACATTTTCAATTCCTTTTTCACCGTTTATCAGGCCTCTTCTCAAGAGGGTTGGTCTCATCTAATGTACCAGGCCATGGATTCATTACCACCCTGGCGAGCGGCGGCTTATTTTATTACGATGATTTTTTTCCTCGCCTGGTTGGTGAAAAATGTTTTCATTGCCGTGATAACGGAAACTTTCAACGAGATTCGTGTCCAGTTTCAACAAATGTGGGGTGAACGAGTGACCATAACACCAGAGGCCACACCACAAGTATTAAGAGGTGACGATTCGGGCTGGAAATTGATTGAGCTTGATGAGAATCATGGTGCAGGTCAATTTCGAGCGCCTCGATTTGTCCGACAGTTCATTCAAACAGCAGCATTCCAGGTCATTATCATGATGGGAATTGTAGTTGATGCCATTGTTGCCGCTTCGGTTTCCTTTGAACATGATGGTCGACCTCGATGGGAATTTTATAAAACTTATTATTACGCTGAAATAGCGATGACCATTTTCTTTGACGTTGAACTTTTGTTGAAACTTTGGTGCTATGGTGCCAAAGGTTATTATCGATTAACTTTTCACAAGTTTGAACTCACCTTGGCCGTGATGACCACTCTTCACATTATTCCTGACCTTTTCCTATCCATGTTGGCCTTTTTCCAAGTTCTTCGAGTAGTTCGTCTAATCAAGGCTTCTCCTGTCCTGGAAGACTTTGTGTCCAAAATTTTCGGCCCTGGTAAAAAACTCGGCTCTCTCATCATCTTCACGATTTGTTTGCTCATCATCATCTCATCAATTTCGATGCAACTTTTTTGCTCTCTCAAGTATTATAATAAATTTCGTACCTTTCCGGAGGCTTTTATGTCCATGTTTCAAATCTTGACCCAAGAAGGTTGGACTGAAATGATGAATGAGACAATGTTACGAACCAAAGAGCCGTTTGGACCTTTTGTCGCCGTTTACTTTATCCTTTATCATTTGTTTGTCTCTTTAATTGTGCTCTCGCTTTTCGTTGCCGTGATTCTTGACAATCTTGAACTGGACGAGGACATTAAAAAGGTCAAACAATTAAAAGCTCGTGAACAATCAGCTTCCATCTCTGAAGAATTGCCATTGAGATTAAGGGTTTTTGAACGATTCCCTGATTCCCCGCAAATGACCAAATTAAATAAAGTTTCATCCGAATTTGTGATTCCAAAGGTTCGTGAATCTTTCATGAGGTCATTTATTGACGATGAGGAAGAGGAAACACCATCAATGAAAAAGGTAGCACCAGACCAGGAGCAACTGATTACCTATCGGAAAACATTTCCAATCCGTTTACTGACCTCACCTGCCAAGGTTAGAACGGCCAATGTAGTGATAAGAAAAAGTTCTGTTAATCGGATCGTTAGTGATTCAAATTATCATCGACTTTTGATCGGTGATTCGGGACAAATTTTTGTCCCTGGTAAAAATCAACGAATCGGTGATCAGGTTAACAATAAGTTAACCCGTTACGATGCCAAATCAATACGACGATCAGTTCGTGGATCGATTAAAATGAAACACACTTATGACCATTTAAAGGAAAATGGTGGTGAGATTACCGATAATCCCGCTGCAGGAGCAACAGCACGTAATCCACATGATTTTGATATTAAACTATTACAGAGGAAGCGACAACAGGCCGAAATGAAACGAAACCAACGGGAAGAAGATCTGAGAGAGAATCATCCATTTTTCGATACTCCACTTTTCTTTGTTGGCAGAGAATCTCGATTTCGTAGATTATGTCAACTTATTGTCTATGCTCAGTACGATCCTCGAATTCGAGATCCCGTCACTGGAAAAGAACGAAAAATTCGATACAAGGGAATTCAGTAAGTTCAAATTCTGCCGATTGAGCAAAATGTTCAAAATTTTATTCGAATGTAAAAATTTTTTTTCTCCTCGCTTTTATTTTTACTCAGCAATCTATTGGGACTAGTGACCTATTTAGATTGGATCATGATAATTGTGACCACATTAAGTTGCATATCGATGATGTTTGAAAAGCCACATTATCGAATCGCTAATCACTCAGAACTTCAGATTATGGAATATGTTTTTGTTACCATGATGGCGATTGAATTATCGCTTAAAACTTTAGCCGATGGCCTTTTGTTTACACCGAAAGCGCTGGTCAAAGATGTCGCCGGTATAATGGACTTTTTCATTTTCGCTGTTACCTGCGTTTTCATCGGTTGGATGCCTGAAAAGGTTGAACCAAGTTCGAAGCAACAATTTATTCTACTTCTTCGATGTATCCGTCCACTTCGTATTTTCAGCCTTGTACCTCACATGAGAAAAGTGGTCTACGAATTGTGTCGAGGTTTCAAAGAGATCGCACTTGTCTCCGTTCTATTGATTGTTCTAGTTTCCACCTTCGCCTGTTATGGTGTTCACATGTTCGGTGGTCTATTAGCCCGATGTAACGATCCAGATATAAGTACACCGGTGAGAAGATCTTTTTTTTCGCTAAACAATTTACTAATTGTCGCTCCAAATTAATTTAATATTCAATTCTCTCTATTGGTCTACAGGAAGAGTGTGTTGGTGTTTTTTTCCGACGACTTCATGTTACCAAGATGAAAGTACCAACGCCTCCCGATGATGAAAATTATCCTGAAATTTTAGTTCCTCGAGTTTGGTAAGTTAATTGTTGAGACAATCAATAAGTTTGTTTATCATTTATAATTGAGGAAGGAAAAAAAAAGATAATATCAAAAGTGTCAGACACTTTTATCATGATGATCAAAACAATTAACTTCTCACTAATTTATCCATGGAGGTTAATTGATCGATATCATCTGGGATTTAACTTTTAATTGTCAACAATTTGATAATGATTATCGTTAATTCATCAGGGCTAATCCTCGAAATTTTAATTTCGACAACACTCCGTCTGCTATGTTGGCACTTTTTGAGATGTTATCAATTGAAGGTTATACTGATGTCCGAGATATTATTTTGGACAGAGTTAGTGATGTGAGTATTTAAATAGTAACAATTAACTAACAGTTGATTTAAATGAATAACCAATAAAATCAATCAACTGAAAAGCTGAAAAATCAAATGCTTAAGCTTCACAATAACAACTTACAAACCGAAAGATTAACAATTTAACTAACCACTTTTCAAATGCACTCAACTAACACTCCTAATCAAATAAGGGTCAACTAATTGTAATTAAAAATGAAACAATTACTCTAATAATCAATTAATTGTAATTTTCTTTATTCTTCTCTCTCTCTCTCTCTCTCTCTCTCTCTTTGCTTATAACCTTGAACCTTTTTCTTGAACTGCGGTCAAATTGACTTGATGCTTAATCCGAAATATTTGAATTGGCTATCAAATATATCACAATATTACCAACACAATTAAATTGCTAAATTGCACTGGCTGAATTGCTTTAAATTGTTAATCAAAATCAGGGCTAATCCTCGACGATTTAACTTTGATAACATTGGTAATGCAATGTTAGCACTTTTTGAGGTACTTTCGTTCAAAGGTTGGTTGGACATTCGAGATGTGATTCTACAGCGACTTGGCCCTGTAAGAAAATCAACCTTTAACTCTAACAATTAAATCCAATCACAGTCGATAAACATTTGACCACAACAATTAACCTGCATGCTTAGAGTTTTTAATTTCTAATCAACAATCAACAAATTGTTTGCAAAACCAAGAAAAAAAGTTTCCAAATTTGCTTGCATTGTGTATACAAAACTTACAATTTATTTCGTAGCAATTTTTTTTCATTAGTCTTTTAATTGTCACAATGTTTTGAGATGATTGACTTTTTTTTGCAATTATTGATTCAGATTCATACGATTTACATTCATGTTTACGTTTTCCTTGGTTCGATGATTGGATTAACATTATTTGTTGGTGTGGTCATTGCCAATTATGGTGAAAACAAGGGAACCGCTTTACTTACCGTTGACCAGCGACGTTGGTGTGACCTTAAAAAGCGTCTGAAGATCGCTCAACCTTTACACCTTCCACCTCGACCTGATCATCATAAAATTCGTGCTTTCTTTTACGATATAACCCAACATATAGCATTTAAACGTTTAATCGCCATCTTGGTTCTAATCAATAGTTCCCTCCTCTGTGTAAGTTGGGACAAGAATGAAAATCACACTGTCCCATTGGCCACAATCTCGTCCGTCCTCACAATGATGTTTACCATTGAGGTTTTCATCAAGGCCATCGCATTTACACCCAGAGGCTATTGGCAATCTCGACGTAATCGTTACGATCTATTAGTTACCGTTCTTGGTGTAATATGGGTTATCCTTCATATCACTTTAATGAATGAAATTAGTTACTCATGTGGCTTCATAGTGGTCATCTTACGTTTCTTTACAATCACTGGTAAACATGCAACGCTTAAGATGCTAATGTTGACCGTTGCCGTTTCCGTTTACAAATCTTTCTTCATCATCATGGGAATGTTTCTCCTCATCCTTTTCTACGCTCTAATGGGAGTTATCCTATTCGGTAATGTAAAATATGGCGAAGCCATTGGAAGGTAAGAATTAAGATAAACTTGAAAATATCAACTTGGAACTCAAATTAATTGATCTTATCGACACCATTTTCCATTTGCATAGACACGCGAATTTCAAGACAGCGATTCATGGTATCATCACCCTGTTTCGAATCGTTACCGGCGAGGATTGGAATAAGATCATGCATGATTGTATGGTGAGTAAATTGTTCACATTTTATGATTGATTTGAATTTTCTAATCTCGATTTCGATTGCAATCTAGATCACTCGACCTTATTGTACACCAGGAGATAATTATTGGGAAACTGATTGTGGAAATTTTAAATTCTCATTACTATATTTTTGCTCATTCTATGTTATCATTACTTATATTGTACTGAATTTGTTGGTCGCCATTATTATGGAAAATTTTTCTCTCTTTTATTCAAACGAGGAAGATGCTTTACTAAGTTATGCTGATATAAGAAATTTTCAAAACACTTGGAATATGGTTGATACTCAGCAAAGAGGGATGATTCCAGTTCGTCGAGTTAAATTTTTACTTCGATTGTTAAAAGGTCGACTTGAGGTTGACCTGGAGAAGGATAGATTATTATTCAAACACATGGTCCATGAGATGGAGAGGTTACACAACGGAGAAGATGTGACCTTTCATGATGTCATTAGTATGTTGTCTTATCGATCGGTTGATATTAGGAAAAGTTTACAATTGGAAGAGTTAATGGCCAGAGAGGAATTGGAATATATTATCGTTGAAGAAGTGGCCAAACAAACGATTCGCCAATGGTTGGATAAATGTTTCCGACGAATAAAACAACAAAGGCAACAGAGTTTAATTCAATCGTTGAGAGCGACCAATGAACCTTTTTATGCCGGTCTGGGTGGGCTGAGTCCAGGGAGGGAGGAATCGCTGCTCGAGAGGAAGGAGTCGGTTAAGGAGGAAAAAGGTCAAGATAATAAGGACTCTGTTGGCGATGCTGGAAGTACAGCATCAGTTTCTGGTGGTGTCGGTGGTGGGCCGGGTGGGTTGTCAAGTTCAATGTCTGGTGGGACAAGTGGTTCCTCATTAGCGGGTGGAATTGGCTCTTCATTAGGTTTAGGGTCAATTGGTACTTCTGGTGGATCAACTGGTGGTGTATCGGGTTCTCAGTCTGGTTCTGGAGGATTGAGTGGATCATCGTCAATATCAGCGGCTACTTGTATTGATACTGGTGTGGCTGCTTCTCGGTGGACCAAGAAAAAGCTTCCGACCCGATCGGAAAGTTTAACAACAGCTTTTCCAGGTCAAAGTAAACAAATGTCCGGTAAAAAGTTTCTAACTCCCTCCGCCAATGTTGAAACTTCTCGAGGTAAAGATAAATCTTCCGATCAAGCAAAAGGACCAGGAACCAAGTGGGGTAGTAAAGTAATGAACGGCGCGGGAGTTGGATCTTCGATAAACTCTGGTGGTGGAATCGGATTTTCATCGGGTGATTCAAATGTTCAAGATTCTACCATTGGTGGAGATTCGTGTGGAACGAGTGGATTTCCCGGTGGATCAGCTGGAATTGGACTTCCAACAAGTAGTGGCCTAGGGGTGGGCGGTGATTCCATTGACGATGAAAGTGACACGACGGACAATTGGCTATCATTTTCTGTCGCTCATTGTAAGAAAAACGCAAATCTACCCAAAGTGTCATCTCTGGTCGAGGAGGTTCATGCCTGGTGGTCTTGTCAATTAGATGACCAAAAAGCTAAAAAAATACCAACAACAAATGATTGTACTGCTTATTGAACTGTTTCAATTAAAACAAATCATCAAACGTACAATTAATATAAAACAATAATCAACGAACCAGATTGAATCATTTATTATTCAAGTGAACAAAATGATAATAATAAGATGATAATCAAAAACTTTTAAATTGCAAATAATCAAAATTTGTTAATTATAATAATGGAAAACTGTTCAAATGTTACAAAAAGCATCTATTAAAATGATCACTATTTAATAATCACTTTCGAACCAATTAATTGCAAATAAATCATTTCCATTTCGAATCAAAATTGCAACAAATCCATGAGCAATACACAATTCACGATCTCAGGCTTTTCCAAATATCGAAAATCTAATCGCTCTTGTCTGGTAATTGATTGGTCGAAATTGATTGTGTGGGTCAGTTGAACGATATAATGTTCACTGACGAAAAGCAGTTCAGTCGGAATTCCAGTAACAGCTCTAAATTGTTCTTGGTCAGAAGCGTACACACGTACTCTCCTCACGATTAATAATATCACATATCACACAACACTAAAAATGAATTGCAATTATTAATAATTCACTTCCATGGGAATAGCCAATTCGATTCCTATTAATATAAGAAAATAAATTAATTAAATACGAACTGATTTAAATTATCATTTGAATCATCACCTTCATCACGCAGCTTATGAAATGAAGTGAAATGTTTATCTGCTCATCTCTAACCCTAATTTCCCCTCGACCAACTTTTTAATTACCCTGTAGTTAATTACCGTGTTTCCGCGCAATTAAGCACAGTGCTTAAAAACGAGGTAGCATGGTCTTAGAGCAAAGTTAGCGCGTTTTTATTGGGTTCAAAGTGACCAACGTGCTTAAATTAGGCTTTGAGCTTTGGTTCCGAAAAAAAATCGACCTTAGTTTAGCGACAAATCAGCTAAAAGAGGTGATTCCCTCGGCTATAAGCACGTGCTTAATTGCGCGGAAACACGGTAATTGTAGGATTAGATAGAGAGAAAAATTTATTAAAAAAGAAAGAGAAAAGGAGAGAGAAATGAAAGTAAGAGAAAGAGCATTTCAAATCCTTTAGTTTCTCTTTCTCTCTAATAAACACAATTACAGATATTATAACGTTTTAGATCAAATAATTAGAGTTGTGATGAAGATTCTATTGAGGGATGATAAAGATATGATAAGATACTGTCACCTTGATCACTAAATCAATAAACTTTCGAGATTAATTAACGGAATGAGTCATAATCAATTTTATCGTTTTCATTGTGGTTTTATTTGATTATTAATGATGAAATAGATGGTGACATTGCAAGCGAATATATTTTGCGACAAAACCCTTTTCTAGAACCTTCTTTTTTTCTCTGTCTATTTTTCTTTCCAATAGGTGCTGAAAAATCTTAATTAATTATTACAGTTTTGAACGACAAATCAACAGAATTATTTTGAGTGTTTAATTCCTTCAATCTAATCGTTTCATCAACTTCATTTTTTTTAATTAGTCAATTCTTCTTGAAGTATAAGTTAATTTTATTGTCCATCTTTAGTTTTTCTGTTCATTCATCCAAGACAAAGATATTAGCGATCATTTAATTGTTGTAATTTTCTGTTATTCTCATTTAATTTCTCAGTTGAAATCGACCAACATGACAAGTGACAGTGAAACTCCAATTGCCGACGGTAAAAATAGTCAAAGTAAAAAAACCAAGAAAAGTAGGAAGAGTAAAGGGAAGAGAGATGTTAATCAAGCATCAAGTTCAGCTCATGGGAGTGAAAAGGAATTAGTAAGTGGTGATTTACCCGAACATTTCGATCGACTGAATGTTGGGCCTGGAGCGGATACACAAGCGAGAAAAAGTGAGAGTAAAAAGCCCTCTCAATCAAAAGAAGCCGAGTTCGATGATCTCGCTGCCAAGGCATTTGATGCGGAAGAAGCTGAATTCAAGAAAAAGTCTCAGTCTCGACGAGCTAAGAACAAATGTGCTGAAGATTCTCTCGCCGAACTTGAGAAACTTGGTGTCAGTTTGAAGAACCCACCACCCGCTCTTTGTCTAAGACCACAATTTCCTAACGGAACGAAGGGTAAAAAAGTAAAGCTCTACTCCAACTTCTTTAAATTGAGTTTGAGTGGAAAACCGGTGTATCAATATCTTGTCACTTTTCTCAAACCAGATCAATCATCGGCTGATGAATTCGAGCAAGAGGTTGGCAGAAAATTCAAGCGAATCACCAAGAAAAACAATCAAACTTTTCTCGCACAGTTTGTTGCTACTACGGGTAGAGATCTTTTCATCGGGATAAGTTATGCTTACGACAATGATAGAATCCTCATAACAAGTAAACCTCTTCCTGATATCTCAAAAGAAGGAAAAATCTTCACTTTCTCAATCAACGAGCCACGAGATCATGATCCGGATTATATTCAAATGTACCTGATTAGAATTAAACAAACGGTGCGAGTCCATTTAAGTCTCAGTTCAAACCCTAATGAGGCTCAGAACGTTACCCATGATCGAGCTATTTTACAAGTGATCGACATTATTAGTAAAACTTATTCTTTCCAAAATGATATCATCTATGGCTCCAAAATTTTCTTCTCGGAATCCAACATGCACAGACGAGAAGATATTTCTGAAAGCTTCGAGCTCGCCTTCGGTTATCATCAATCCACTCGCTTATGTCAAGAAGGTCCAATGCTGAATATCGACCGAGCCACTGCGGTTCTTTACAAAGAAGGTCCTTTGATAAGGTCAATGTGTGAAGTCTTAGGAGTTGAGTCTCCAAAAGACATTAATCTAACCCCAAGTTCACATCATGCTCTCGAAGAGTTAACTTTCCTTCGAGTTGAGACAGATTATCGTGGGTACCGTTGTAAGCATACGATCCAATCGTTCACTGTTGAACCCTGTAGTAGTCTCACCTTCCAACAGGGAAATTCAACGGTCTATGTAGCCGATTATTTCCGACAACACTATGATATCGATCTTGAATATCCACATCTACCATGTATTGTTTATGGTTCAAATAATTACATACCTGTTGAATTGTGTTCCCTTTTACCTAATCAACGTAACCAACGGAAACTTCGTGATGAACTAATCAGTATTATGAGTAAACACACAACAGTTCAGAGACCAATCGAAAGACTTTGTGAACTTAGAAAAAGGGCTAATGATGTTTCGAACCAATTGAAAGATAATCAATTTGATATTCAATTGAATCCAACTCAAGTTATCGTCGAAAGTCGTGTTATTCCTGCTCCGAGATTAACATATGCTAATGATAAAGAATCTGAACCTCGTCTTGGAAATTGGACTATGAAGAAAGGTGATAACTCTTCAAGAAGATTATTGTCAACTATGGATTTGAAAAGATGGGCACTGATTGGACTGGTTTCTGATAAAATCGACAATAAAGCTGCTAAAATTTTTGTCGAAACTCTACAGAAAAATGGATCGATGATTGGTATGAGAATCGCTTCTCCAGTTAACCCTTTCAAAGTCTATCAGGAAAATGAGCTTGAAGGTTTATTCAGATTTTGTAAGACACAAAACCTCCAGTTGATTATTGTTATAATGGAGGATAATGTTGAACATTATGGAAGAGTCAAATATCTTGGCGATAAATGTCTCGGTGTTCCAACTCAAGTAGTTTTAGATAAACACTATGATCATCGTGAATACATGAAAACAGGTACAACCACACTCTTCAAAACTGCTTATTTATCCAACTTATTGCTCAAAATTAACGTTAAAATCGGTGGAGCCAATTTGAAGCTGAGCGAAACCACTCGATGTTCAATTTTGAATGATAAGACAATGGTCGTCGGAATTGATGTCAATCATCCATCTCCTGGTGAAAATGCTCGTTCGATCGCTGCCGTTGTAGGTTCGATTGATAAAGAGTTCAGTAAATATCGAACTGAAATTTTCGCTAATCACGAAAGAGATGAACTAGTCCAAGTTCACAGTATGATCGGACCAATCATCGAAAAGTTCAAAGCTTCTCGTGGTTTTTACCCGGAACATATTATCGTCTATCGCGACGGTGTTTCTGAAGGACAATTCGCCCATGTTATGGGAAATGAAATTCTTCCTCTTCACAAACGGCTTAAAGAGTATCCTAATCCTCCGAAATTGACCTACATTATCGTTCAAAAGAGACACAATGCTCGTTTCTTCCCAGTTGATCCAAACCAAGGTACAAGAAATGGGAATATGTTACCAGGATCAGTTATCGACACTAATGTTTGTCACTTCAAATGGTTCGACTTTTATTTGTGTAGTCAAAATTCATTCCTTGGAACTGCTCGTCCAGGAAAATACACTGTACTTTGGAATTCGAGCTCTGCTCAAGCTGATGATCTCCAAATGGCCACTTATTATCTTTGTTACCTGTTCGCTCGAGCGACTAAGTCAATCGCTGATCCTGCCCCAGCTCGTTATGCTCATCATGCTGCAGCGAGAGGAAAATTTCATTACAGAGAAATTTGTAAGCGGCGACAATGGACCGACGAAGAAATGAATGCTGAGATTAACAGAGCAATCAACGTTAACGAAAACTTTAAAAATATTCTTTACTTCATTTAATTGTCACTTATTAGCACTCGTTTTATTTGGACACTTCTCATTTATTATTTTCCACCTCAGTTTAAATTTAGAGAATCGAAAAAATTTTTATTAGAACTATTTGTTGTTTTTTCTTTCACCAGCAATACTTTCTTTTAATAATTTGTATTCACAAGATTTGTGAGATGAATTCTATTTTGTATTCTTACTTTTTAACTAACGATTCCAGCTCCATAGGCAGTGGAAGTGCAATTCTGAAACTTTTTTACTTTTAACATGTAACTTCTTGAATCAAGGATTCTAAGAAATTTCCTTCTTTTCAATTTCCTGATATTAGAAATAAACATTAGCCAAGTCATGAAGCCTTTAAAAAATTGTGATTTTATTCATATTCATTATGTGCTCAGTTCCACGAAAATAACAATACATTATCAGTTCGGGTCTTGAATACATTTATATTTTATCATTTACTGGTACAGAAGATGAAGATACTGATGTTGCCTGTAAATAATTGAAAGTAAAAGTGATTAGAATCATCGATAGTTTTTTAATTTTGTTCGTTAATTATTATTAAACTGGAAGAATGTTAATATTATCAAATGAAAGCAAAAGAGTCGATAGGATTTTTATTATGGTAAGACTTCGGATTAGGTCCGCACGTTTAGAGACCTGAAATTTTTTGTACATATAGCTCATGTCAAACTACATATTATGTGCGAGTGTGGAATTGAGGAAAGATCTAGTTCCTGAGATACAGGGCTTCAAAGTTGGATTTTGCCATAGAGCTCTATGGGTAAAAATGAAGTTTTCCTGTATACATACTAATGCTTTTTACCTCTTGATTTTTGTATATGTTATACCTTATGGTATGGAGTATTATCATGAAAAAAATTAAGACTCTAGCTATCACGGGTGAGTACTTATAGTGTGTTCTTTATGAGACTTTATTCGTCTTTTACTATAATTAATCAACTACTGCATATAGAAGTACTAAATTTGGTTGAACATCAAGTCAAGGTCACACAATGATGTCAAAGTCATCTCAAGGTCAAATTACGGTGAGTAGTCTATGATGTTTTTCGCTGGTAGAAATATGTATAATACGCTCGCTGTAGACCAGAATGATGTGTTCGGAGTGTATGCAAACTGGTATACGATAGATAATAAAATACAAATAGAAGTGACGTAGACATGCGCAATCAGATCTATGATTTATCCACCTTTCAGTTGATTCACGGACTCAGCAGAGGATATGAATTTTTGACTCCGCCCCAGTGGGTGTGGCTGCAGCGCCACACCCACTTGGGGCGGAGGGTCAAAAAAATTTTCGCCGCGCCGTTTAAGTGCAAGATGTTTAAGTGGTACTATCAAGCAATCTGTATAGCATATGCTAAATATCACCATAGCTCTGTTATCTAGCTAGTACTAGAAGGCGGGAGAGCTGATTTTCGCTGACTGAACAAGTGTTTTTCAAGTGTAAGTACTCACCCGTGATAGCTAGAGTCTTAATTTTTTTCATGATAATACTCCATACCATAAGGTATAACATATACAAAAATCAAGAGGTAAAAAGCATTAGTATGTATACAGGAAAACTTCATTTTTACCCATAGAGCTCTATGGCAAAATCCAACTTTGAAGCCCTGTATCTCAGGAACTAGATCTTTCCTCAATTCCACACTCGCACATAATATGTAGTTTGACATGAGCTATATGTACAAAAAATTTCAGGTCTCTAAACGTGCGGACCTAATCCGAAGTCCAGCCTTTATTATTTACCACAGATCCATTGGAAATACAACTTCTGAATGTTTGATTAACTGCCTGTCCATTTATATCAACGGTTTTCGACCTGTTCTCAGTTAGTGTGCAATTAAAATGATCTACTGGTTATCCTTGTCATGTGATTGTTGGACGGACGTTAATAATACAACATCTTACCTCGGATTAACCTGCCTGTTATTTTATCGACGAATACCAAATTAAAGTATTGTGTTTAGCAGTCAAACAAATTACCTCATCTCATAGTGCTGATAATGTTGCCAATATTATTAAGGAAATATTTAATGAATTTGAGATAGAAAGTGGTATCATCAGTGATTCAATATTAAAAGTACGGGCAGTCGTCAAGTTATCTAAGCTAAGCACTTCAGTGATATAATCAAAGAAATTCAATTGACTGATGATGTAACTCCACTTAAGCTAATCCAAGATATTATAATATTTCAGTCAGATGGAACAGTACTTACTTAATACTGGAACGGTATGTAAAGTTATGTGATGCAGTTTCAATGGCACTGATCAAAATTAAACGAGAGGATCTTGAGGTACCTTTCTACGATCTTGATGTATTACATGATCTCATTTCATTACTTGAACCTTTGCATCAAGTCACTCTGAATGTATCCGGTGAGAAATATGTAACAGTCTCAAGGATTATTCCAGTAATTAATATGTTAAAACATATAACTACTAAAATTAACCTAAAAACCAATTTAGGTCAATACTCCCAGGTTGTAATGTGTAAGAATATTGATGAAAGATTTAAGTGGATAAAACAGATAGTTTTCTTATGCAACACTTTTGGACCCTCGCTTCAAACGTATTGATTTTTCCTCAACTCTTGAATGTGCTTATGCTGTTAATGGTATAAATGAAATGATGAATGTTATACCATTAACACAAAGCCTCGTCTCATGCAACAAACTTTGGAAGTTGCATGATGAAAGATGTCAACAGTTATGCGGATGATGCAACCAATATGAACACCGGCCTTGAACATAACCTGTCAATGCTTATATGCCGTTGACTTCTGATCCATTAGAATTTTGGAAACCAATAAAGACAATTGGCATCAAGGTCCTCACTTCATCAGCAACGTTAGTGCCATGTGAACGTTTATTTTCCGAAGCAGGAAATGTAATTACTGAAAAGAGAATTATCTATTTATTGATGATCGACGATGATCGATTATTTCACAAAAAATTGCGTAATCATCGATTATAACAGATTCCAACAATCACTAGAAAGAATCCTAATTATTTGTTCAAGCGATAAACAATTAACTCTGGTTTAAAATTTTTCGTTATTCAATCGACTTAATGTTTTAGCTTCTTTTGGATCAAAAGTTGAAGTGATCAGCATTTCAGCCAAAATTGTATGAGTTCGCTGCACTGAGAAAGGAGCAGAGCCGTGTAAAGGAGCTATCTGCTGAGGTAAACATGCGATTTCTATTAAACAAAGGGAAAGAATCCTAATCGTCTGCCGCACCTCACACGCGTCAAGAGGTACCGCACCTGGAAAATGAACAAGATGACAACAAAGGTGTCCGCCAAGGGAGAAACAAAATCCCGATTAATCAGCACACTTTCTTCAAAGACTGTCGCGTAGCCTCAGAAATGAAAGCTGTCGCCAAGAAAATGACCGGACTAGCGCCTGACCGAGGCGAATGCTAGGTGGTCAGCTCGTCATGTCTATAACACATCTGTAACATCAAGGCACAAACTTTTTAACTAACTTTTACTAATGCTTTAACCATATTAGTGTTATTATTATTACTTTATATTACTTTATTTTATGAAATTATTAAATTTTATCATTTTTTTCATCCAATTGTAAATTTTTGAAATGCACATTTCTCTCATGGTCAGGCAATATGCCATGGCCGCACTGTTAATCTACAAAACTGATACCATCTCATACCGCACAATCCAGTGCAAACATACATTGTAATACATCCTAACACATTAACATTTAACAGAGTCAAACTCTGCATTGTAAGCTCAGGCCCAGGTGAGCCCAGGCTACTGCCTCGAAAAGGCTCGAATCGCTGTGATGAGTCGCTGCAAAAGGCTAGGTGCCTAAACTAGCCTAGCCAGAAGCAAGTCAATTACCAGCATCGGCGTTACAACCCTTTACGTCTGTACCAATATATCAATTATTTTATGTTTTATTTTTCGGTTTAATGATAAATAAAGAGTTTTATGCACTTCAAAAAAAATCGACTTAATGTCTCAGCTTCTTTTGGATCAAAAGTTGAAGTGATCAGCATTTCAGCCAAAATTTTATGAGGATTCACAACATTGACGCGAGTACTGGATACTAAATGGAATATGTGAACTCAATTGGGAAATAAAATTAAAAGTTATTATTATATGGTTGATTACACTTGTATCGCTTTCGATACACTGTAAACCCAAAATGGTCGTTGTGCTTTTGCCTATTCTAAACTGGACACAATAGGTTCTTCTTCGGTGTTAAACTAACTTAAACTAAACAAGTTCACTCTCTACATCAAAGTTAACCCTCACCCTTTATATTACCTTTGTACCGTTTTGCTACCATCTGTACACATCTAATAAAGTTATTTCCAATTCTAGTAAGATCCGTTCTCATCTCTAACAGATTCGATGACAGAAAAATATTTGTAAATAGTTCAATGTTAAATTTCATCAGGATGGAAAGATCGATAAGTTTAAGGCGAGATTAGTTGCAAGAGGATTCAGTCAGCGATATGGAATTAACTCTGGTTTAAAATTTTTCGTTATTCAATCGACTTATTGTTTCAGCTTGTGCTGGATCAAAAGTTGAAGTGATCAGCAATTCAGCCAAAATTCTATGAGGACTCATTCAATTGACGCGAATACTAGATACTGAATGGAATATGTGAACTCAATTAGGGAATAAAATTGAAAGTTAATAGCATATGGTTGATTACATTTGTATCAACTGTAAACCCGAAATGGTCGTTGGTTGTGCTTTTGTCTATTCGAGACTGGACACAATATGTTTTTCTCCAGTGTTGCCATAAAATTTATTAGTGCGCTTGTAATCAAAAGCATAATGATCTAACTTGGGTGATCTAATGAGTTTTCATTCCGAAGTTATACGCTCTCAAAGTTGTATGTAAAAAATCGTAACTCGTGCGATTTTATCACGTTTATTGTCAACTGAATCTCTAGATTATCAGGCAGAGACTGGTTAAGAAGAAAGTATCTATAAAATTGTTTGTAAATAGATTATTACTATTATTAATATAATAATTATTATTATTATTATTATTATTATTTAATATTAATATCTATTCTGTACAAATAATTTATCAATTGATGAACTTAAAGAGATGAGGATATGCACAAATTGATGAAAGAATCCTAATTATTTGTTCAAGCGATAAAAAAGAAGCTCTAGCTAAATTATCAACCTTTAGATTCAATTGTTTCATTGTTTCTTGTAAGTTCGAAATAGTCTTATTCATGTTGGGATTAATTGTTTCTCTTTGCATCATGAAGGAGTTGTTACAGGAAAATACGAAGTTCAGATTACGATGCAAACGCGTATTCGGCTCGTCGGATCATTTGATGTAAACTTTTCCACTTTATTAACGGTGAACACTATTTATTGATTACTAAGTACATGAGAAGGGGAATATGATCCCAACTCTACTCGATAGAGACAATTGAGACTTCGACTTTAGAATCCGTAATTGGTAACTTCGAGAAACGCCTTCGAGCTGTTATTCAGACGGAAGGTGATCATTTCGGACATATTATCATTTGACTTGTAATGAAATGAACTTTATTTTGGTGTAATCAGTATATTGATATGAATTTTGATTAAAAAGTTATCAGCAATTAAACGTGTGCACGTCATTACTGATCACGGTGTACATTTAAAAAACATTCAATTTATATGCAGGATTTCTCCTTCATTCTTAGAGAGCTGTGCCAACTTTTCTCAGCCCACAATGTTTATCGTCAACTGAATCTCTAGATTGTCAGGCAGAGATTGATTAAGAAGAAAGGAATTAGAAAAATTGTTTGGATCCTTAATTTTGATGATTGATTACATAACATCCAACGGTAAACTTTTACACAACCCGATTTGAAGTAACGAGCTGGTAACTGTAAACTAAATAATTAAGCCTAAGTATTAGTAAGCCTGATTTACGTCACTTACGCATCTTTGGATCTATGGGTTATTTTTGGATAAACGTCATGGTAAACATAAATTTGCTGAAAAGGGGCAGCAAATGATTTTGGTTGGTTACGGTGATACCAACAAAGGATATCGGATGCTGGATATGAATAGTCTCAAGTCAAAATACAGTCGAGACGTACGTTTCATAGAGCCGGTTAACGATATGGTCAGTGTTGAAACGTCAGAGCCTCAGTTATCAGGAGAGGATAAGTCAGTCAACGAAAATTCGTTAGTTGAATTGTGTGACGTTGATGATGTGACAACTGAAGCTAAGCCCGAAGTCACAATATCTTTCGCTGATATTGAGACTGACGTTGAAGACTATAAGACTGTAAACTAAATAATTTGGAAGACATAATTTTTATGTCCATAGATGATCTTAATTAAACAATAAAAAAATCTATCAATCGATTTGATTGCAATTAAAAAATAAAGTCCTGACACTTTGGCCCGGACAACCAAACAGATTTTTTAGCCAAAGTTTTTCGATTTGTTCTATACGAAGTTTTGCGAAAGTTGATCTTGGGTGATACATGCCTCTTGCCCCTCACTTTAATCGTTGATAGATAATCGTTTAGTACAGTGTCTTCCTCACCTACAGTTGAATTCTTCAATCAATCGAGGCAAAATTTAGTATCGCGCGCGTGACAGTAGCAGTTATATTACTTCAACTCCAACTTTCAATTATTTTGAGTGTTAGGGTTAAACTATAAGTTTATTATTCGTCTTAATTTTTCATGCTACTCATTAATACAAGTCAAATATTTTTTGTGACAAGTGATCTCTTGATTCTTTTAATTTTAATTTTAATTTTGGTTTTATTTTAATTTAATCTCGATGTTAAATACTAATATAACGACTAATCAACAGAATTAGTTTGAGTGTTTAATTCCTTCAATCTAATCGTTTCATCAACTTCATTTTTTTTTAATTAGTCAATTCTTATTGAAGAATAAGTTAATTTTATTGTTCATCTTTAGTTTTTCTATTCATTCATCCAAGACAAAGATACAAGTGATCATTTAATTGTTATAAATTTCTGTTATTTTCATTTAATTTCTCAGTTGAAATCAACCAACATGACAAGTGACAGTGAAACTCCAATTGCCGACAGGTACAACCAAACTCTTCAAAGCTGCTTATTTGTCCAATTTATTGCTCAAAATTAATGTTAAAATCGGTGGAGCCAATTTGAAGCTGAGCGAAACGACTCGATGTTCAATTTTGAATGATAAGACAATGGTCGTCGGAATTGATGTCAATCATCCATCTCCTGGTGAAAATGCTCGATCGATCGCTGCCGTTGTAGGTTCGATTGATAAAGAGTTCAGTAAATATCGAACTGAAATTTTCGCTAATCACGAAAGAGATGAACTAGTCCAAGTTCACAGTATGATCGGACCAATCATCGAAAAGTTCAAAGCTTCTCGAGGTTTTTACCCGGAACATATTATCGTCTATCGTGACGGTGTATCTGAAGGGCAATTCGCCCATGTTATGGGAAGTGAAATTCTTCCTCTTCACAAACGGCTTAAAGAGTATTCTGATCCTCCGAAATTGACCTACATTATCGTTCAAAAGAGACACAACGCTCGTTTCTTCCCAGTTGATCCAAGAGAAGGTACAAGAAATGGAAATATGTTACCAGGATCAGTTATCGACACTAATGTTTGTCACTTCAAATGGTTCGACTTTTATTTGTGTAGTCAAAATTCATTTCTTGGAACTGCTCGTCCAGGAAAATACACTGTACTTTGGAATTCGAGCTCTGCACAGGCCGACGATCTGCAAATGGCCACTTATTATCTTTGTTACCTGTTCGCTCGAGCAACTAAGTCAATCGCCGATCCTGCCCCAGCTCGTTATGCTCATCATGCTGCAGCTCGTGAAAAATTTCATTACAGAGAAATTTGTAAGTGGCGACAATGGACCGACGAAGAAATGAATGCTGAGATTAACAGAGCAATCAACGTTAACGAAAACTTTAAAAATATTCTTTACTTCATTTAATTGTCACTTATTAGCACTCGTTTTATTTAAATTGGAATTCATTCAGTCTCAATTCATCCCCATGATTTTTTTTCCCATTAATTGATATTCAGAAAAAAATCTTGACAAGGATAAATTTGATCCACTCATTGGTTAAAACTATTTGTTGATTTTTCTTTAACCATCAATACTTTAATTTCTTCAAGTTGATGATTTACACTAACTTTGCAATTATCAATCAACGATTAAGGTTAGGAATAAGAGCCATGTATCACCCAGGATCAACTTTCGTAGAACTTAAAATAAGTTCACGATTCGTATAGAACATGTTGAAAACTTTGGTGAGAACATTTAACTAATTTTATTTAATTCAGTCCCACTTCCCTTTTCCCTGAGCTAACATTCAAGTTGAAACATTAATGTTTCAACCATAATAATTATTATGGTTGATTACACTTGTATCGCTTTCGATACACTGTAAACCCAATAGTTACTCTTGATAATTAACTAAAAATTTGTCTCAATTTTCAATTGCAGCTCTTTGACACTGACAATCCTTTAAATAGAGATGCTGCTAAATTCATCTTCAGTACCGAAGGTCATATTTTTCCAGTTACATGGAGATATCGCAGAAAAGCCTGGGAAGATGTGGACAAATTTGTAAACGATTCATCTTCATCATCTTCATCATCCGCATCATCTAATATGCAAGATGAATATAACAATAATCTACCATTGGATACTAATCATTCAACTAAATCATGCCTTAAAATTAATCAAGAGAGACATTACATGTTGCCAATTAAGAATAATTATCTTCATCAAGTAATTCATGAGAGATACAGTTTACCCAGTTAACAGGTCAAAAGTTGTTCGCAGCCATTGGCTACTAGTCAATCAGTTGATTCTAATCAATTACAATTCACGAATTCAAGGCAATGTTTCTATGGATTGTAACAGATAATTAATTGCATAAACTAACCAAAATCCTTTGGTTTATGATTCAATCTCCATGGTAAAAGAGTTGCAACTTTAATTGTGATGAAACTTTCTTGAAATGCTGCTTGCTTCAAATTCATTATACTGAATAAGATAAAATCAGCTGAACTGTTAGATGAATGATAGTGATGATGAGGATAAATGAATACTGCTAATCTAATCATACAAAACAATCGCTTAATAAAAAATTAAACTACATATTTATTGTAATTACATATAAGTGATTCGATGATAGAAAAATATTTGTAAATAGATGATTACTAATATTATTAATAATATCAATTCTATACAAACAATTTATCAATTGATGAACTTATAGAGATGAGGATAAGCACAAATTGATCACAAAGAATACTAATTGTTTGTTAAGCCACAGCGTTAATGAAATAATAGGCATGATATTTGTTCAAGCGATAAACAATTAACTCTGGTTTAAAATTTTTCGTTATTCAATCCACTTAATGTTTCAGCTTCTTTTGGATCAAGTTGAATGATGAAAGTTGAATTGATCAGCATTCCAGCCAAAATTGTATGAGGACTCACACTATTGGCGCGAATACTGGATACTAGATGTAATATGCGAACTCAATTGGTGAATAAAATTAAAAGTTATTAATATATGGTTGATTACACTCGTATCCCTTTTGATACTCTGTAAACCCAAAATGGTCGTTGTGCTTTTGCCTATTCGAGACTGGACACAATAGGTTCTTCTTCAGTGTTTTCATAAAAAAATCGTGATTCGTGTGTGATTTTATCATGTTTATCGTCAACTGAATCGTTAGATTATCAGGCAGAGACTGATTAAGAAGAAAGGAATTAGAAAAATTGTTTGGATCCTTAATTTTGATGATTGATTACATAACATCCAACGGCAAACTTTCACACAACCCGATCGGAAGTAACGATCTGGTAATTGTAAACTAAAATCGTGCCTCAAGTTGATCTGTTCAAGACTACATGATGAATGAATCGTCTCTGAACAACCTCGAATCACAATTTTTCGCTGCCTTATTTTAAGTTTTACGGTATTTTAATTTGATCTTGGGTGATACATGCCTCTTGCCCCTCACCTTGATAGGTAATCTGATTATCATAATCGTTTAGTGCAGTGTCTTCTTCACCACAGTGGTGCCACCCACATGCAGAATCATGAGAGAGGACATAAGCTTTTGCCTTACAAAGTTTTGTGACTCAAGAAATACCTCCAGACGTAACAGCAAAAAGACTTTAATGATCGAAACTCGTGAAATTGACCCCTGCAATATGACAAGGCATATTTCAATCACACAGACAAAACTGGCACCATCAAATCAGTTTTTGAATTGTGCGCTTTTTTGCATTCGGCGAGAGTAACTGCTTGGTGTGCAGTGTCTTGCAGTGGTGTTATTGGTGCATTTTGGTTCGAAAGAACAGTCGATGGAACAGAGTACATAGAAATGCTAGAGAAGAAGTTCTTCCATGGGGAAGACAAGATCAAGAGGTTCAACGGTGGTTTATGCAAGACCACATCAAGCGGAAGATGTTTTTGTGACAATATTTAATCACTTTGGTAACTACGTTATGTGATGGCGCGATTTCATTACCACAGGAAATCATTTTGAAGATATGTTGGATTAAATCCACATAAATTTTCTTTAATATGAACCTAACCCTAACCATTTCTATACTCACTCTGTAGCAAAAATTATTCAATTCTCAAAAATGAAACGGTTTTAAAAACGCTGTACTTTCTTTCAAGCGCTTTTGAAAACTAATTTTTCAACTTATTGATCGAAAAGAAGTAAGCTAAGCATTAATTGCACAAAAAAGTAAAGAGTAATAACGAGAGTAATAGCTTATCACTCTTTGCTGAATGTTGCATGACAAGTTTCACTACGGCTTAAAAAGAAATGAACTTATCAAAATGAAACTAAATGAAATAGCTTAAAGCTAAGAACAGAAATGAGAAAGCACTAAGAGTTTTACTCAAAAGAAATATTAGAGCACGAACCTAGAAATCATCGCCAAATCGGAAATTACGCAGACGACCCTTGGTGTCCAATTTACAAAGCAACAAAACAAAGACCAGCCTTAAAGCTTGACAGTGTTTAAAAAACGATAGTGAAGAAATCTACTTAACATCTAACATTAACGGCATATTTAATATACTTTTTCATGACGCAGACCTGAATGTAAAAGCAAGCAGAACTGAAAAGATTAGTAAACTGTACTCCAAATGAGACAGAAGATCCTGCTTTTAAAGCTGACGAGTGGCAAAGCTCCTGCACCGATGATAGGATAGCACCGTTTTAGTGATCCTTTAAGGAGAATACATTCTATCTTTGAACTATTGAAGTTCAGCTTGTTCTTACTGTTCAGTTCGCCATTCTTGTTAGAAGGACTGTTGCCTTTCATTCCAGTTCTGCTCTTTTGTTGGCACCCATTATTAGGGACGTATCGTCTGCATAAGCTACTATTGTTTACTCCTCATTAAATTTGAGGAGACTATTCATCAAGATGTTACATCTTGGCCATGCTTCGGATCCTTGTGGACAGACTCTATTGACCATTATGTCAATATCAGCTGTCTTGTATCTTATTGCTCTAGAATGAAAGAATTGTCCAAGTAATCATAAAGGTTACCCGGACGGTCGAACTCTCTCAATCATTTTTGCTATGGCGGGCCACCATGTATTATCAAAGCCTCCTGATATATCTGACATATCATAGACTCTCTGACCTTTTTCACTAGTTTTGAAAAATTTCTGGTTAGGCCAATCGGCGATCGAAGTTTTTTTTGTTTTTCGATTATAACACATAAACTAAACACAATTTCAGTCCTTATCATCACTGTTAAAACAAGAGAACTAAGTACAATTTCCATCAAGTTAATACATTGATTGTAAAAATCAAATGACCGTGAAACATTATCACGCTTTTATATAGAGATGGGCGATTGTTTAGATTTACGATGATAGTGACGCAATAATTTTGACGAAAATCGATATTTACCGATGTTTTTTGTCTTAGAGAAAGAGACGTAAGAAAGAGAAAGAGGAAACGATTCGGGGGAGAGCTTTGAAAAAGAGAGAATTCGCTCATAAAATGTATGAGACAAGGAGGGATAAAAAAATCGATAAGTTAGATGTTCAACTTGATCACTCAACGTTTATCCATATATTTATCTGTTGCGTTGACTGATTCCCATGCGATCCTAATCAAGTTATTAGAAATATTAACAGGAAAAATCGAAAATCAAACAATTTAATTCAATCGATAATATTTTGTTCGACAATTTTTTTCTCGAAATTCGTTAATCCAGTTAACAGATCAAAATATGTTCGCAACCATTGGCTACTAGCCAATCAGTTGATTCTAATCAATTACAATGTACGAATTCAAGGCAATGTTACTATGGATTGTAAGAGATAATAGATTGCATAAACTAATCAAGATCCTTTGGTTTACGATTGAATTTCCATGTTTAACATGGTAAAAAAGTTGCAAACACAAAGCTTTTTAAACGTCTATATGATTAAAAAACACACTGTATATGGTTGATTACACTTGTATCGCTTTCAATACAATGTAAACCCAAAATGGTCGTTGGTTGTGCTTTTGTCTATTCGAGACTGGACACAATAGGTTTTTCTCCAGTGTTTTCATAAAAAATCGTGACTCGTGCGATTTTATCACGTTTATCGCCAACTAAATCTCTAGATTATCAGGCAGAGACTGATTGTGAAGAAAGTAATTATAAAATTGTTTGGATCCTTAATTTTGATGACTGATTACATAACAGGTATGAGAGGTATTACCCTTGATACAGTTACGTAATTTTCTCCCGAAATATCTAAGGTTACATCATAGAAAGGTTGAAGAACCTTAGAGATGTTATCCTTAATTTTGATGATTGATTACATAACATCCAAAGACAAACTTCTACACAGCCCGATTTGAAGTAACGAGCTGGTAACTGTAAACTAAATAATTTGAAAGACATAATTTTTATGTCCATAGATGATCTTACTTAAAAAATAAAAAATCTATCAATCGATTTGATTGCAATTAAAAAATAAAGTCCTGACACTTTGGCCCGGACAACTAAACAGATTTTTAGCCAAAGTTTT